TACGGCCGACCGCCGGCTCGTCCCGTCACACCATTCCTCTCCTACCTAAACCAAAACCGGGGAGACTGAGAGGCCTCTTCTTCCGTGCCAGACAGTTGCAGCCGAGCTCGCAGGAACCACGTTCCGGGCATCCATTTCCTATCTTCTCGTCGTTGCCGTCACCCACCGACATGAGGATGCTACAAGAAGGCTCTCTACACCTCGAGATCCTGGCAATTCCTACGGCGCCCATCATGCCCCAGTGGGTTCCGAATTCAGAACGTAGACAGCAACATTGGATTGTTTAGGTCTTCTTTCCCATCTGGTATCCTCGTTCTTCTAAGCAGTGATTTGTTGGATTCGTTGCTGAACAATTTTCCCGTGATATGGAGAGTAAGGATCAGCGTCCTTCTGCGTCTCCTATATCTTCCGTTACAGGCCGGCTTTACTCGCGAATACGACACCAGGCTGGCGATTGGCGTTCGCTTGACTGTTCGAACTCTTGGTTAACTTTCGGGTTTTGCTATCTGCTCGACCGTCTTCAGTAATTACTTCTGGCGATCCGCCGGAGCTGTTCGTAGCTTGCATTCCTCATTAGAGCACTTCAAAGACCCAGAAATACTGTTGCATTTATGACTAAAACGAGGACTCAAGCCCTGCTTGGAATCAACCAGGGCAGCCATCTACACAGTGAAGGGTCCTGGAGGCCTCGGACTCCTTACCAAATTTCTCATAAGCAACCAGGACTGCCTATCAGAGGACGGCAGCACTTTGAAGGCTAGAGAGAGCTGCCAAGAACGCGACTCGGCGACATTTTGAGGATTGACCTTAGATCAGTTTCCTATCCATAAGCCTCTGCCAGCTGCAACTGTAGACTTCGTGACCTCCTGGGTGATTCAGGTATCATGACACAGTAATTCATCATCGTTCCGTAACCACGGCGTACTGTTCTCATAATATGCCTAATTACGCTGTTAGGGAGACCACTCCCAATTCTGCACAAATCACCTCATAATTATACGTCAATGTGAAAGACAACGCAAATTACGGCCTTTAGTCGAGACCATGGCACTTTACATCCCCATTCGTTCATAAAAAGGCCACGACTCCAGGACTGTGTCCGAGAACCTACCGGAAATGACCAAGCGATTTCTCTTATTGGTCCCCCCGGGCACGGGTTCATTCCTTCCCGTGCATCATCGAATCAGCGAATGTAACAGCATGAAATGTCGGACCTTGACCGGATGCTGTTTCCGAGCAAGGGCGGCTGACGTGGGGGTTATCGTTCGACATCAAGTCCCGGTTTAATGCTGACACCTGTGCTACATAGCTGCAAAAACTTCATGCAATCGGTTCTGCCACTTCGAGGTTCTCGGGCGACGGAAGCCGCAGCTCGGAATCCGGCGACCAGTCCAAAGGCTGCTAGAGTTGAGGCTCATTCCGCGTCCGATATTCTGTCCGTTGCTTTCGGTGCCGGAGCGCGGCATCCTGATTGTGAGGAAGCATCAGGCTCGTACCGAGAGAAATAATGCCCTAAGACGATCTATGTAACATCTACAGTATAGAAAGAAGTAGACTGATAATTATTCAGAGTTTATGAGAAAGTTTCGTGCCCAATATAAGTCACCTTATACTCTGGCTTTACCAAGTGTGCCCCGTCTCAGTCATCTCCAAAGCATAGTTTGCAATTCCACCAACAACACGAGCAGAAATGGGCCTCAATGATAGACCGATGAACGGGTCGTCCCGCTTGCCTGACATGAATGGCGTCGATGACCAAAAGGGCGCTATGCCCATTGCCATCTGCGGCATGGCTCTTCGTCTTCCTGGTGGCCTATCCTCTCCTGAGGAGTTTTGGGATTTTTTGTTGGCAAAGGGGGACGGCCGCTGCCGAGTGCCTAAATCGCGGTACAATGTGAAAGCGTACCATTCACCCGAGTCAGGAAAGCCTGGTTTTGTAGCCACAGAGCATGGCTTCTTCCTTGATGAGTCTGTCGACTTGGGCGCCTTGGACACCTCTTTCTTCAGCATGACGCGAACTGAGGTAGAGAGGGCGGACCCCCAGCAGAGACTACTCCTTGAAGTATCCAGGGAGTGCTTCGAGGATGCCGGAGAGGTGAACTATAGGGGAAAGACGATTGGATGTTATGTCGGGAGTTTAGGAGAGGACTGGCTGGACATGTTCTACAAGGAGCCGCTGATGTACGGCATTCACCGTCTCACGGCCGGTGTTTTTGCTCTCTCAAACCGCGTGTCGTATGAAATGGATCTACAAGGACCGAGGTATGTTGTCATCGCAATCGACGTTGTTGTTGTGGCAGATTGCTGACATTGGCCTCCACAGTATGACGATCCGTACAGCGTGCTCGGCGGCATTGATGTGTCTGAATGAAGCTTGCGTGGCCATATCTCGTGGCGACTGCGAATCCGCTCTAGTCGGTGGTGTGAACCTCATCCTCAACCAAACAACCACGATATCCATGACAGAGCAGGGACTCTTATCAAAGGACGGGAGCTGCAAGAGTTTTTCTGCTGATGCAAATGGATATGCTCGCGGTGAGGCGGTCACTGCCATCTTCATAAAGCCTCTGGCCGACGCTATCCGTGATGGCAACCCTATCCGGGCTGTCATCAGGGCCACTGCCGACAACTCCGATGGTAAAACAAACGGCTTGACTCAACCCAGCACTGAAGCGCAAGTCAAGTTGATGAAGCGGGCTTATGAGGTAGCTGGAATCGCTGAGTATCGAGACACGGCCGTGGTAGAGTGCCATGGCACAGGAACACCCATTGGAGACCCCATCGAGACCAAAGCCGTGGCCAGAATTTTTGGAGATGAGGGCGTATATATAACCTCGGTGAAGCCGAACTTGGGCCACGCTGAGGGAGCTTCTGGTCTTGTTTCTATTATCAAGATGGTTCTTGCTCTCGAGAACAAGACTATTCCTCCCAACATCCGCTTCAACACCCCCAATCCCAACATCCCTTTTGAGTCAGCCAAGCTTACAGTTCCTCTCGAGCCAACACCCTGGCCTGCTGGCAGGCTGGAACGCGCCAGTGTCAACTCATTTGGTATTGGCGGTGCCAACGCGCATGTTATCCTGGACTCTGCCGCCGCATTCCATCAGGGGCCAAATTTCTCTCCATCTACTCCCATCACGGGTTCCCAGCTTCTTCTCCATTCTGCCAACTCTGCCAATTCTCTTCAGAGGCTGGTCACTACCTATTCGTCTTTTGCCCAAGAATACCCTGACAAGGTGGGAGACCTAGCGTACACTCTGGCATTCCGACGCGAGCCACTACCATATCGTTCCTTCACCATTGTCAAAGATGGTTCCGTGGGCATACCATCCACTGCAGTGAAGCCCTCTGGTAGCTCGCCGCCCAGTGTTATAATGGTCTTTACCGGCCAGGGAGCACAGTGGCCGTTGATGGGCAAGCAGTTGCTCAAGTCCAACCCCGTCTTTCAGGCCAGCGTCCGAGCTCTGGATAAGCATCTCAAGTCCATAGAGGGAGAGGATGCTCCTGAGTACTCCATCGAAGAGGAGCTCCTGAAGGCTGGGAAGAGTAGCCGCGTGGGAATGGCGACATTGTCTCAACCTCTTTGTACCGCCATCCAGATCGCGCTCGTGGACACACTGGACTCTCTCGGTATTGTCCCTGCTGCAGTGGTAGGTCACTCAAGTGGAGAGATCGGTGCTGCATATGCCTCTGGCGGTCTCACAGCGAGGGAAGCCATTTTGGTTGCCCATTTCCGTGGTGTGGCCGCCGCGCGCCAGCAGCGCGCGGGCGGTATGGCAGCTATCGGTATGAGCTGGGGAGAAGCAGAGAAGTTCCTGATTCCGCAAACGACACTGGCATGCGACAACTCACCCAACAGCGTCACCATCTCGGGAGATGTCGGGGCCGTTCGAAACGTTGTGTCAAACATCAAAGACGCAAATCCCGACGTCCTGGCCAGGCTCCTGCAGGTGGACAAGGCATATCATTCTGACCACATGGTAGAGGTGGGCGACTACTATCTCGCCTGCTTACATCGGCATGGAGTGACTGGACGAGTCCCCACGGAAGCCCAGTTCATTTCCAGTGTCAGTGGCGGCTTCACCGATGGCACCCTCGATCTGGGTGCAACTTACTGGCGAAAGAACTTGGAGTCTCCTGTACGCTTCCGCGAGGCTGTCTCTGCCATCTTGCAGGATAAGACTCTAGGTGGCTCTTCGTTGTTCATCGAGGTGGGCCCGCATTCTGCCCTTGCTGGTCCCTTGCGCCAGATCTTCACTTCTGTCTCGTCTTCGTCCACGACACCATATGTTGCAACTCTCGTGCGGAACCAGGACTGCGTAGAGTCGATCCTCGCCACGGCCGGTAAGCTGTGGTCACTCAATGTCCCCCTTAATCTGGAGTCTCTCATTCCGAAGGGCCAGACGCTTGGGGACCTGCCACGATACCCCTGGAACCACGAGGCAAGCTACTGGTTCGAGTCACGCATTTCCCAGCAATGGCGTAATAAGCCATTCCCCCACCACGATCTCCTGGGTTCTCGGATCCCTGAGAGCACGGATTCCGAACCAGTCTGGCGCAACTTATTCCACATCCAGAATGCCCCCTGGATTCAAGACCACAGAGTCAACGGAGATACCATCTTTCCCTTTGCTGGTTTTATTGCTATAGCTGGCGAGGCAATCAGTCAGATCACCGGTATCCGTGACGGCTTCAGCATCAGGAAGATGACTGTTAGTTTGGCATGCATTCTTCCCGAGGGAAAGCCTCATGAAATGGTCACCGTGCTACGACCAGTCCGTCTGACTAGATCACTGAACAGCCAGTGGTGGGAGTTTACAGTCTCCTCGCATAACGGCCAAACATGGAGCCAGCACAGCACTGGTGAGATCATGGCCATCTCTGCAAGCCCTGCTGAGGATTTGAATCCTGTCACCAGCCTTCCCCGCAAGGTCCCCGCATCCAGCTGGTACGGCACTCTTCGCAAGCAGGGACTCGATCTTGGCTCAACGTTCCAGAGCATGCAGACAATCGATGTTGCGCCAACAGCCCCTGGCAATGATGCTATTTCGCGAATCGAGATGGCTCCATCAAATACCCAGCCTGGAACGGGCTACCATATTCATCCCACCATGGTAGATGGCCTGTTACAGCTCTTGAGTTGCGCTGCCATCAATGGCCAAGACCGCAAGGCAAAGCTATGGCTTCCCACAACCATTGAAAATCTCACCATGAAGAGATGTACAGGGGTGATCACAGCCCATGTGTCTGGCGACATCACAAGCAATGGCTCGATCCATGGACGAGGCTCTTTCACCTCTGATGGAAAAATCTTTCTGCAGGCTTCTGGCATCCATTTGGCTCTTGGTAATGGCTCCGAGTCCAACAGCATGTCAGATACGCACGCCGCGGCTCGATACACTTGGGGACCAGACATTGACTTCATTGACATCGGCACTCTGGCAAAGACTCCAGTCGATCGAGGCTCAGAACTAGCTCTCCTAGACCATCTCACCAGCCTCTGTCTAGGCTGCTCTCAGCCTGATGGGTCCATGTCTCGGCCTCCATCCACTCATCTCAAGTTATACGCCCAGTGGATCAGCAAGCAAGTGAGAGCTGGGACGAGCGGTACTTCAACGCCCACAGACCAGGATGTCGTTCTTGAGAGCTTGGAGGAGTGGGCCAAGCGCCTTTCTCGTAAACCCGCAGCCGCCGCGGTAGTAGTGCTCCAGGACGTCTTCTCCAATCTACCAGCTATCTTGCGTGGCGATTACATGCCCAGCGAAAGCCTACGTGACGGGATTCGAGCTGACCTGTCACGGTTCACTAGTTCATTCGACATATCTTCCCTTGTGAAGCATGTCTGCCACTCCAGGCCCAACCTGCGTGTCCTTGAGATTGGTCAGGACGCCTCCAACCCATCGTCTTCTATTACCGAAAGTCTCATGCTATCTAATGGGGAGATTTTGTGCTCTCAGTACACCTTTACCACCAAGAGCTATACCTCTACTACGGACCAGGACACGGCATTCTCAGCCATGGAGTTCCTTACATTGGACATCAGCAAGGATCTCGACGAACAGGGGTTTGATGATCGCCAGTACGATCTTATCGTGTTCCCGAATGTGGTAGGCTCCGCAAGCATCTCATTGCCCATTTTACAAAACATCAAGAATCTCCTAGCACCTCAGGGACGATTAGTTTTGCAGCTTATCAACACTGATTCTGTCTGGGCAAGATATGTGTTCGGCTCCCAGCCTTCATGGTGGCTTAGCTCACCTTCAGATGATGGCCACCCGCAAGGAGACCATCTTGATGCGTTACAACAAAGCCTCTCTTCTTCTGGTCTCGGCAGGGTTGACTGCGTTGCCGAAGACGGGATTTCGACCACAATTATCGCCAGGCCGACAGAGAAGGAGATTCTAGCAAAGAAAGTTTCAGTATTATACACTGACCCCGACGAGGTTGAGATATCAGATGACCCAATAGTACTCCAACTGGAAGGCGCCGGGTACCAACTCACAAAGTCGTGTTTGAGCAATCCGAACTTGCCTCCTGGGCAAGACGTAATTTGTCTTCTTGATCGATCTCGCCCCTTTTTCGAGACATTGGCTGCTGATCAACTAGAAACTCTCCGAATGCTCGTGACCAAGCTGGATGGCGCTGGCCTTTTCTGGGTGACGGAGCACTGTCAGATGGGTGTGAAAGATCCAACATACGCTCCTGTGATTGGCTTTGCGAGAACCATGCGAACGGAGATGCTTGTCGATTTCGCAACCTGCGAGATCGAGGACTGGGTCGAAGATGTCTCTGTGCTGATCAAAGTTTTCCAGAAGTTCCAGAGCCGTAATCAAGTAGAAGACGATTTCAAGCCCGAGCTTGAGTTTGCCATTAAGCAAAGTCAGGTCCACATTGGACGCTACTATCCGTTCAGTCTCCCAACCGAGTTGTCCTCCTTGTCCGTCTCCGAGAACTATATTCTTGACGTTGAGACTCCTGGAAGGATCACGAGTCTCCAGTTTGAGCCTTCTCTCCGCCGCGCACCTGCTGAGGGAGAAATCGAGTTTGAGGTTGCCGCCACTGGCCTGAATTTCAGAGTAAGTCTTCAACCTTTTCCCCTGATAATTCACAACTTTGGTTTTCATGTGTATATTAACGTTACGCTTTAGGATGTTCTCATCGCTATGAACATTGTCGAACTTCCAGTCCGAAGGTTTGGGCCAGAAGCTTCGGGAATCGTCACCAGAGTCGGATCAGGGGTGACGAATTTCAAAGTGGGGGACCGCATCGTCGCCTCTGTTTTCGCAGGATTCACAAAATATGTCTGCGTTCCTGCTTTTGGCTGTGTTCAACTACCTGATTCTATCGATTTCATCGAGGCTTCGTCTATACTTATCCCATACATCACAGCTATCTACTCTCTGATCAATATTGGTAGACTCGCCGAAGGCCAAGTAAGTCTGATGCAAATATCTTACCGTTAGTACTGAGCACTGATAGAAATGCAGTCGATTCTTATTCACAGTGCCTGCGGTGGTGTTGGTCTCGCGGCTCTGATGATCGCTCAAATGCTCGGGGCCGATATCTACACTTCCGTGGGCAGCGAGGAGAAGGTCCAGTATTTGCACAAAGAGTTCGGCATCCCCCTCAACCGCATCCTTCATTCCCGAGATGACTCCTTTGTCGCAGATGTGATGCGAGAGACAAACGGCCGAGGTGTCGATCTGGTCCTCAACTCTCTCTCGGGCGAGCTTCTGCATGCCACATGGAACTGCGTCGCCTCTTTTGGCACCATGGTAGAAATTGGAAAACGAGATTTGATCGGTAACGGCAAGCTAGACATGCGGCCCTTCCTGGCCAACCGCAGCTACTCCTGTGTTGATATTGACCACTTTTGGCGGAAGCCCGCACTTCTTAAGCAGTGGGTTCTTTTGTCCCTCGCGTTGCGCGAATAAGAGATACTGACACAGAATACAACAGTCTTGTTACCTCAACTGTCAAATATCGCGATGAGGGACACATTCGAGCTATGCCAGTCAAGCTGTTCCCCGCTAGTGAGATCCGGGAGGCGTTCCGCTACATGCAAAAGGGACAGCACATTGGTCGTGTGTCAGTTGCCATGCGTGACGATCTGGTTGACCAAAAGTTCACTATCGAAGTGGTCCCCCGTCCCTTACAGACTACTTTCAACAGCTCGGCTTCGTACCTCCTCGTCGGCGGCCTGGGTGGCCTCGGCCGAGCTGTTTCCCGCTGGATGGTGGAACAAGGCGCCCGTGAGCTCATCTATCTCTCTCGAAGCGCACGCGAGACCGGTGACACCGCGGTCTTTGTTGAGGAGCTGCAGGCCGCCGGGTGCCATGTCCAACTTGTCGCTGGTGATGTGACTAAGCCAGAGGATGTTGTTAGAGCGATTACAGCTGCGTCACTGCCCCTTAAGGGCATACTCCAGCTCTCCATGGTGCTCCGTGACGAAAACTTCGAGAGCATGACGATTGACGACTGGGACACGGCAGTTGCTCCCAAGGTCAAGGGTACATGGAACCTGCACAACGCAACCAAGGATAACAGTCTTGACTTCTTCGTTCTTTTCAGTTCGATTTCCGGAGCGGTCGGTCAGCCTGGTCAGGCGAACTATGCAAGTGCCAACACCTTCCTCGACGCATTTGTACAGTACCGAGAGTCGTTGGGCCTAGTTGCCTCAGTTATCGACATTGGCGCCGTGGCCGATATCGGTGTCATCACTCAAACTCGCGGCCTCATGAGCAAGATGAAGTCGACCGGCTTCAAGGGCGTTCAAGAGCAAGAGCTTCTCGACGCCATTGACCTAGCCATCGCTCGAGGGGGTGCCCAAACGCTGGAGAAGAATTCTAACTCAGGTCTGAGCTGGTCTAGCCAGAGCACGTTCGTTCTCGGTCTTGGCTCGGACCAGCCCCTAAAAAGTTCCAGCAACCGAACGGTGTGGCGAAACGACAGGCGCATGGCGATATATCACAACAAGAGCGGTACTTCTGGCCCATCAGATGCTACGGCATCTTCGAACCAAGCCCTCAAGGCGGCCATCGCAGGCGCTCTTGCTGACTCTTCAGCACTCAAATCGGCAGATTTTGGGGAGTACCTTGCAATGGAGATTGGCAAGAAGCTGCTTGATCTCCTGCTCAAGCCATACGATGACCTGAACACTGCAAGGCCCTTGGTAGACCTCGGTCTTGACTCGCTCGTGGCTATCGAGTTGAGGGCGTGGTGGAAGCAGCTGTTTGGGTTCGACATCAGCGTTCTTGAGATGCTGGGAATGGGATCTCTACATGCTTTAGGACAACGTGCCGTTGAGGGATTGTCAGAATCCACAGGTGGAGCAGAATAGATTTGAAAATATTAAGTTACTTGTCTTTTCACCAAAGACAAGGGGCACAGTATGAGGAAATTGAACAAAGGGGAAAAAATGAAGAGGACCAGCATGTGGGAAGAAGTGATTTACGAAGAAGCTCATTACACACATTAAGATCAAGCCAACACGTAATTTCTTAAAAGTCCAATGAAGATAAAATTCTATATTCATTATAGAAGAATTCAAATAAATTTGAGAAAAGAGAAAATATGTATATGTAAAAATTAAAATATAAACAAGAAGAAAAAGATACAGCAGGGTATCTTTTTTATTTGAATTTATCATTTGCCAACTCCAGTTAAGCAAGTTGACTGGCAGCAAAGATCACAGTTAGAACAACAAACAGTCCTGTACCTGCAACATGGGATGCGCCACTGGGAATGACTGATGACGAGACAGAGCCCTGGGTTGCGGAGGCTGAACCGCTCGCCCCCGAGGTGCCCGAGTTGGTGGGTGTGACGCCGCCGGTAGAGGTTACAAACCCACTCCGGGTTGAGCTGTCGGAAGCATCACTGCTTGCAGAATCAGTCTCGCTCGAGGTTTCAACCGCACTGCTCGATGTTGCTGTCACGCTACCGGAGGCGGAGGTAGCGGTAGAGCTTGAGCCAATGGAATCCGGCTTGCGCATGGAGGCGCCAGGGCATTTGGTAATACACTCATAGGCCAATTTGTACAGGCTCTTGTAAGCATCCACATCTTTAGACTCCTGGTTCTTCTTGAGGTCGTCAAAATACTGGTCATCGCATTTGCGGGCGCATGCGTACGAAGAGCACGGGGCAGTATCGCCGTCCATGAAACTGAGACCTCCCTTCTCGGCCTTGCCCCAGCTACCGGTGGTACCCTCCAGGGAGAATTGGTCGCTGTACTTGTAGCCAGAAGAGCCGCTGTACTTGTCCTTGTTTTGCTTGAGCTCCAGGGTGGTAATGGCGAACTTTGCATCGGCAGGGAACAGGTCGGCGGGGATGTTCACCTTGACGGAAGTGGTGTCGATCTTGTTGCCCTTTGAGAGCAAGCAGGTAGGCATCAACCCTGAAGAGCTAGGTGGTGCGGTCGCCAGGTAAACATTGAAGTTGGCATAGGCGGAATCGACCGAGCTCGAGCCGTTACTGAGGTCGTTGGTGATCTGGACCTCGAAGTCGGTGTTGGCCTTGATGTTGGAGGGGATGCTGATTTTCTCAAATGCCAATGCCGGGAGGGCAGCGGCGAGAACAACGAGGGCGGTAGATGCGTACATAATGAAGATTGATAAAAAGAAGAAGAAAACTTTGAAAAGATGAGAAAGGTAAATATAAGAAGAAAAAGACTTTATGAACGTGTTGTCATTAAGTCAGTCAAAATTGACAGAATTGAAGTATGTAAAGCTTGAAAAAAGGCCACGAGGGGCGTTGAAGAAGTGAAAAGAAAGGAAATAAGGAAAAAAGAAGAAGGGAAAAAGGAGAAGTTCTCACTGAGAGTGTGGTGAGGAATAGACTTCCAGTTACTGTGAAGGCAGCGTAGCATTTTATAATATACATTTTCACGATGATTCCATTCACTCAATGGTGCTGTTTATTCTGAGACCACGTCCGGGTACTAACAATAGCTCCTGGTAGCTTAATTTCCTACCAGTCACGGACGCCGGGAGCCCTGGCTCGCTCCGTTCAGGTGTGCACATACTCTTTGCGGTGGTTCACCCTATTTTTAGATAGGATCGGTTCCTACGGGCATTATTAATTCGCGCCCCATGCCCGAGAGGGGGTATTCTGTTTGAGTCACGTGAGACTGGTAGCCACCCTCGGACTTGTGGATGGGAACTGCGTGTCAAGGCATGATCCGACTTGCTCGTCTCGGGATACGTCTTTGCAGATTTGCGACGCACAGAGCGTGCGGCGATCTCGGGCTTGTGAGGATGTATTTGTCGCAGCGGAGGTAACTTGAAGGCGCGTAAAGGTCAGCTCAGATTTCCCCTCGGAATGATGCTACCCTATAGCTTAGATCAACTCCAGATAGCACCACATCTAGCTCTTATTGTTAATAGCGAGCGTTATAAGTAGCTTTCTTGTTGACAAGAAGTTATCTATCAGTTCTATTATACAAATACCTGAAGAGTTTAGCTAAATTGAAATAGAAGCTCGAGGCCACATAAACTGATGAATTTTTTATTATCCAACTACATCCATGCTCTCTCAGAGTCATCGCTTGCGCTTGTCAATGACGTAACCCAAACGTCAATAGTCAAAGTGTGCAAACTGTAAAAAGTTTTTAATGGAACAAAGAAATTAAATAATAATAATCGCTTTTTGTCTTAGATTGGCTGTTGCTTCGGGGCTTGCTTCTTGTCCACCTCTTCTCGCCTGACAAGTTGGCTCCTCAGCCTTTCAACGTTCGACTCGTCGCGTTGTTTGTTTACCTATTTTATGGTGGTCACGCGTATGGGACCCACTTATCGACACGCTTTTATTTGTCAATCCCTTTTGGCCCTGACATTAACCATCATCAATATCGTTTGAACAACTTTGCCATCAGGCCGGACCTCTTCTTCTCCTCACGCTCAATGTACTTGACCCAGTCGATGCCATCTTCGGGACGAGCCGGGCCGCCAACCTCACGAACACGGCGTGGCGGGCGCGTGCCAACCGGAGGGGTCCGTGTGGTATGGGTAGCTGGCCGCGCGGTACGAACAGGTCGCTTGGCTCCCGCGGACGTCTCAGCGGCTGGTTTGGAAATGATCGTTTCGACATCCCTTGCGGCTGGCTGCTTTGATTTTTGCAGCTCTGTCTGATACTCAGCTGTAGACTTGCGCAGATTCTCGTCCTGCCGCTTCACAAACGTCGATAGGTGATTCCGGCTCTCTACTGTGAGAGGGTGTGCTGCTCCCAACGCTTTTTCCCGTGCAGACAGTATGTTCTCGTACACCAGCTTAGCCTGCCCCCCTCCTGGGCTGCGCTCTTCGCCTTGAGCGACCTGGTATAAGGTCTTGATGATGTCCTCCGGCTCTGCCTTCTGTTTCTGTTTCACCTCGACAATCTTCATGAGGACCGGTTGAGCCCTCGCGTAGTTGTTCCCATCCAGGAGCATGTCCACCAGCGCCTCCATGCTCTGGAGCATTTTTGGATCGTCCAGGCGGCTCCTGATTTCGATAACTTCCCGGTACAGCTCCTCAGCGCGACCTGTCTGGCCAGTCTGGCGCAGAGTGTCCGCTGTGTCGTGCATGGTGTTCAGGGTATCGCTGTGCTCGGGTCCCAGGGCCTTGCGTCTGCCGGCAAGCGCTTGGCTATATACTGTCTCTGCATCTGAGAAACGCCCTAGCTCAAACAATATAGTCGCATAATTGTGCTGGTCGCGGAAATATACAGGATCGCGAATGCCGAGCCAGTGGTTGCTCAGACGAAGTAAGTTATTGTACGCCTCGCAGGCTTCGTGGATGGAGCCCTTGTCGAACAGCACACCGGCCTCAAGTCTTATCAGCTCTAATATCTCGTCGTCTGTGAAATCTTCGGGGAGTGACTGATGGTTATGTTTGAACCTTTCCAGTTCTGCGTACTGCTGCTTTGCCTCCTCAACTAGACCCTTCTCAACCTTCTCATTAGCTGCTTGCTTCAATTCGAGATACAGCTTAGGGGCCGTCTTGAAAGTGGGCTGGAAGTTCTTGTTGATTCTGGCAAGCTCCGCATACTTGCGCTCCGCACTGTCAAATTTCCTGTCAATGAAATCCGAGTTGGCAGCCCTCTCGAGTTCATGGTACTCTTTCCAGCCCGGCTTGTTACTGGGTTCTGTGCTGCTCATTCGATCGATTGTTGCCACGGGAATACTTTGTTTAATCTTGGCTGTCAAGCCGCCACCCTTTCTCGTTCTTGATGGGGTCAATGTTGAGGAGGAGGAGATTGTTGCTTGGGGGTTGGGAACAGAAGAGTCAGTCCACGTCCACAAGGCGGGCATCTGTGCATTATTGGAAGGCTTCGGCTGTTCATCCATGATAGTCTGTGCGAATTTCGGTGTAAAATCCGCTGTCGACGAGGCTGATGCTGTGGTAGTCATATATTGACTGGGGGCATTCCGTATCGTAAGAGTTTGATTTTCGGGGGCTGTTTTGCCAGAAGTCAGACCTGCTGCTGTCCAAGATGCTGAGGCTTCACTTGATCCAGATTGGCGCGAAGGATTCCTTATCATGGGGTTTTGGCTTTCAGTCATCGTTTTGCTAGCAGTCAGGCCTTCTGCTGGCCACGATGCGGAGGCTTCGGTCGACATGTCTGGAAGGGACGGTAACGCAAGACCGGGGAAAGAATGATTGATTATGCTCCATGGTCGAGGATTGCCCGTGGATTCTAAATCGGACACGTTGGATTCCGTCATAATCCAGGCGTGTGCTGACGCCCCCTCAGCTGTAAGTCTATTGTCTGGATCGTTGACAATGAGTGACTTGAGAAAGTCAATAGCATCCTCGGATGCATGCAGATCTCTCAATATGTCGGCTGGAAACTCAAGCTGTCCCAGACAAAATCGACAAAGATCGGCGTGATTCAAAAAGGTAGGTCGCCCAGAGAGAATCCGGAAGATGGTCTCGCCGAGGCACCACATGTCGACGGCGTAGAGATTTGAGCATCTACTGTTCCCGTCGGTGAAGCCAAGCAGCTCCGGTGACATGAATCGGGGTGTTCCTCGCACTGTTGTGGTTTCTGGAACGCCTTGATCCCGTCTGCTAATGCCAAAGTCGCCTAGTTTGACCACCCACGCGTCGGGAGGATGGCTTTGGACGAGTATGTTCTGGTAATGACGGCTATTAGTCAGAGAATACCATTCTACTAAAGGCCTTAGCATCAGAGGTGGGTGGAAGAGAGCTGGACTCACTGCTGGTTTAAGATCCCGGTGAGCAAAATTCTCTTCGTGCATCCTGGAGACTGCATCCAGCACCTGGGAAGCAATCTCGTGTACCTGATCTTCAGGCAAGCGACTGTTGGGACATTCGTTTGCAAGATACTTCTCCAGATCACCAAGTGGACAATACTCCATGGCAATGAAGAGCTTGTTCCCCTGGGCAAACCACCCAAAGGTCTTTACAAATAGTTCCCCATACTGAAGTCGGCTGTCAATGTTTGTATCAGAGCGAATACAAAGGCCCAACCTACTCTGATCTGAGAAAACTTGATGATAGCTTCAAGCTCGCGCACGTAGAAATCTTGATTGGAGCCTAGCTCGGCCTCGGGGATGCGAATGCACTTGACAGCTCGGTACTGAGGTTTACGCTGGGCGTGACTCTGCTTGACCTGCAAGTCGACAGACCCTTGACCTCCCTGCCCCAGATTCTTGACATGGGCCCATACTTCCTGTGTCTGCTTGGCTCGGTGGCCGTCCCTCGTGTGGACGATGTAATGATGGCCTCCCTTGGATCGGAATGTTGCGTGCAGCTGCGAGTCCCGCACCAGCTCCTTGAGGTCGGCGATATTTGCCAGAGCCGCCATGATCACATGAAGCGCGCACAGTTTACTGCTGTCGAATAACAATATTCGCCAGCTTAAACAATTCTCGCAGCGTGTTGAATGGTTGAGAGAAGAAGAGAGGGGAAGAATTGTTCACTATCTAAACCCCTTTCTCAGCTGCGGCTGAGGTCTCGGGCGCCAGTGGGGGATCTATTCAGGATTAGCGAATCAATGGTCTATAGAAGCGCTGATGGAGAGGCGAGGCCTGAAAAAGCCTGCGAGTAGTAGGCATAAGCATAGCACCCCAATGACCTAGGTGTGCATGGTGGACTGGAACTCGTGCATCCCGAGTAACCACTCAATTACTAGGGGGTGACTGTCGTCGATACCAGTCCCCAAGGACACACCAATCAACACCATCGACGACATGAATGCTGGCACGGCCAACTTTACCTAGTTCTATCTTGGAATAATGCTGCACAGAGCCAGGGTGGTTACAGCCATGGTATTGGTTGCGTGTGAGTGTCACTCTGGCCTATCTTCACGCCGGCAGCTCTGACAGTAAAACTCGCCGAGGAGAACCAGATTATCAAAGAAGCCGTGCCCATGGTCGACTTCTACAATGCTACTAAGTTTGCGTTTATAGGTACATGCGAATCGTGTGTTGATAAGACCGTCGGCGCTGGTATTCAGTTTCGTACGCGAACTCCTCATTAAATCACTACAGATGGCGGCCACGTCTTCCAGCGTCCGTATCCAGTCTATTGTTCCCCTGCACGTCAACTTAGATCATTTTCTCGACTTACACGGTCCCGCCCTACGATGCGCGCCTGGTAACCTCACGGCGCAACTGCCTTCAAGGTTGCAAGCCATCCAAAGAAAGGAGGGGGGGGACAACTTGAACGTGCTGCGAGATATGATGCTGGATGCTTATTGTGTGTTTCTAAATCCACATCTTCGTTTTACATTGAGTGAATATGACTTTCTGTATATTCAGCTACTCAATAATATACTCCTCTTGGTAAGCCCGCGGCCTTCCAAACTGTAGTCGTGCAAAATCTAACGTATCATGCTAGTGTGGCAAACTACAATGCAAACATAGGCCAGAGAGGAAAGACTTGGCAGTCAGATAGGCAGAATCTCGAGGATAAATTGACCATGATTGCAAATGCCGCAAAAGGCACCAACCTAAACCAATGCTCTTAATGACTGGGGAGGCAACAGTCATATATTACCTCGCACATGCTGCATACGACGTGATTTATGATGATGACTCTCTCCATGCTGACGCTATTAGGCAAAGTGCCCGAACTGTGGGGCACAGGAACACCGCTCATAATCAAGCTCACCCTAATATCTAATCTAGCCATTCCCCCTTTGCTTCCGTGTCATCCTCGTCCTCTTTATCACGAGTCGCCATGCTACATCAACTCACCCCCGAGCTCATCGCTCTAATTCTTGACAAACTCATTGAGGGCGAACACGGGGAACGCCCTGCTCCACGTCGGTTGAATTTGTCAAGCTATGCAACCATATCTCGTACTTGGCAGTGGGCTGTCGAGGCGCGCACATTTGCCCACATACGCGCCTGCAGTGACCATGGGTACATTGATAATTTCAGAGCCAATCTCGCAGGCCGGAGGCATCTCGTACGGGCCGTCAGTCTCAAAATATTCCTGCCTACCGAAGGCTGCTCGAGGCAGAATTACGCACAAGACCACGACGTCTTTGCCTCCACAATAGACATCTTTATGAACGAGCTCCACCAGTGGGAGCGCGATGGTGATGGTTCTGGCGCCTCTCCCCTGGGCCTATCTATCCTTGTTGATTCCAAGGGAAGGCCTAGAAAAGGGTCCAGTCTCGCAAAGTACCGCTTTCCATCTCTTACAGAGGACGAGGCCAAGCGACTGCCAACCTTGCGACGCGTGACGTCCCTCCTGATCAACACGACTCACCGGGCGATGCACCCTCGGGCCGTGTTTATGCTCGTCGCTGCCATGCCGTGCCTCGAGGAGCTGGCGATCCGCCACTACGACCCCCGTCAGCACGACAAGAACCGGGAGGCCCGGCTTGACCACAGGGCGGCCTTCGTATCAGGCATTTCAAAACTAAGGACACGCGGAAATCTCAGACGCCTGCAGATCGCGTATGAGGCGCAATCCCTTGACACAAACCACGACTTCAATGAACAGTCCTTCGAAGATGAGCAGGGCGTGGACCCGCTCAGCGAGGAGATCCGTCTGTTGTCCCAAGGCCCCAAATTCGAGGAGTTGGAACTGGACCATGTCCCCATCTCTCTTGATCTCTTCTACAACACCCGAAAGGGCGACCTCGCTGCTGCCACACAGAGCGAGGAGGCCATCTGGGAGAACCTGCGCAAGTTTGATATCCTTCTCACAATGCGGGATGCGGGGGGCAGGTGGTACTTCACCGGTACGCGCTCCGACGATGAGGACGGTTGGGTATCCTCTGGGTCAGAATATATAGAGGACAGCGACTTTGAGGGCTCCGAGCCGGAGACGAGGCCTCGGCAGCTTGTTGTGGACGAGGAGAACCCGTACTCTGCCTGGCGCACGGAGCTCAACCCGAAGACCTTGAATCCCCTGTTTACGTATCTGTCGGGGGCGGTGTGGCGCATGCCCAAGCTGGCATCGGGTTACGTCCAAGCCGTGCCCCTACATGGGGAGGACGTATATCTTCAGCTCAGTGAGGGTGACCGAAGCTTTGAGTTCGTATGCGACCCTACCACTACGTGGATTCCGCCACCCGAGGCTATCGATCTGCTGGAAAATGCTGGATGGAGGGCGAAGAATCGCACATGAAATATAACAGTCTCAAGAAAGTATGTCCCTCGACCAAAGGGTTCTCAGAGAACATGGGCACTGGGCTATCAGATTTACTAAGATGATATTTCAAGTTGTAAGTTTAACCTGGCTGTAACTCCAGAGTGCTGAAAACTGTTCCCGCTACTCTTCCTGCCTGGTTATTTTCCGTGGCAACTCTACTAGTCCAAGAGATGTGAGGCACCTGGGAGGAACCAAACATTTCACGTTGTTAATGGGTCGCAGGGCCGACTCAAACCTAATGATAATCCATCATCTTGAAAACTTCGTTGTTTACGCCGTGGTAGGAGTAAGCCCGAAGGACGCTGTGGAACATTTCAGATGTTATTCTCCAGAGTGAGAATAATATGTGGATACTAATTTCTTTCCATCGTTCTGGAAAGAAGCAAAAACACTAAAGTGTTAACTTTGTGTACGAAGTGATCAGTATTATCGGTATTACGTGTCTGGATAATCATGCCAAGGAGTTAGCTCAGCCATGTTAGAATTTAGAAGCATGTCACTCTGAACCTTCTCATTTCTTGCATTCTGGAATGTCCTCAGCTGCTATCTTTGGTGCATCGTGGCGCCTGTTCTTGGATCATCGGGGGAACTTTTTTGTGGCTCTTTTGGATGGATTCTAGAAGGACGAAACCGGGTTGTCCCGTCCCAGTGTATGCCCTATGACTTACAGCTCATCCCGTATGAGTGGTATAGCGTGGCGTTTAACCTCTAACTGTGGCTTTAGATAGGGCTGGTTTTGTACCGACAGTCATCCCGAAGCTAGCGAAGATCACAGGTCGTTAGCTTGGGCTAGTTTCTAGGAGCCGTTTACCCGTTCTCATGATCGTACTAAGCCGCAGCTTGCTGCACTACGCTTTGACTGTCGAATGTTAAGTCTAGTCACTCAGGAATTGCCAACAGCAGTGGACTTTCTCCGGAACAATCTCTAATATGATTTAGAGAATTCGTCATCAGTCGTCGTCAGCAGTAGTAATCGTGATGGGAACTCAGAACGAACATGGCTTGTCCTAGATGTCGGTTTCACCGAGGGTCTCCAGTGCTGGCGGTTAACTATAGTTTGGTTCGTGTTATTCTGGGTATCTTCCAACAAGTATAAAAGGAATGCTTTTCCCAGCCTTTAGAACACACTTTCAAACCATCAACAATCACAACAATCAACAAGCAACGAATCAAACCAACAACACCAACACTAGAACCAAGACTTCTCGACAAATCTTCTTATCTCTTTTCAATATGAAGTTCCTCGCTACCGTCCTCCTCTTCGCTGCCACCTCCATGGCTACTGCGGCACCCGCCCCTGATGCCAACGACGAAGGAAGCAACGGCCAATGCCAGACTGCTGGACAGCGCTGCAACTTCAGCATTCACCCGGCGCTCGCTTGTTGCCCCGGGCTCCAATGCTATACGCCTCCCGGATCCCCCCCTGGTGCCTATGGATACGTACGTCAAGGCCGTCCCAGCCAGAGCTACATATTGGTTCAGTACTAACTTTTCTTTTTTGAAGTGCCGCAAGAACTAGGATATATAAGAATTGATTGGGATTTCTTTAAGAAGAATAGAGGCGAGGAAAAACGAAAAAGAGAACAATCGCTCTAGACCCCTGCATCCCAATAAACGATTTTGGATAGAAGGACGCCTTGGGATAGGTTTTTGTGCCCTGTTTAGAAGAATTGGCTCTGGGGTTTTCCCTATCTCAATTTACAAATGTAGAGGCGAGGTTTCAGTTTGCTTAATTGAATTTTATTGATATTTAAAGTAACCAATTTACTAGTGAACTAACGTTGAAAAAATAACCCAAGTATCAGAACATCTCAGAGGGGTCTTAATTTATATTAGTCTCAAAGAATTAATCTTAACATGCAGGATACAATGGCAATACTCCTAGGTCTGGTAATAAAGTTAGATTTTACTGAAACAATTAGAGTTAATGTAGATACGAGGAAGCTAGATATCTAAATCAAAAGATCTACAAGTGGCAGAGTGAATCTCATATAATGCCTGAGCTTGCTCACACCAATGATTGCACTCTGAGCATTTGCTACTTCTTATCCTCTCTTGGAAACCCTAAGCAGGTCTATGCCACATTGGTTTAAGGGACGTTCGGAATATTGCTCATCTGAGTGACATCGGTTGATCTATCTACAGGGATGGGAGGAGCTTCGCCTTCCTCATCCTTTCCCACGACCGTAAGTACCCCTCGGCTGTATCAATCTCCTCGTCAAAACCGACGGAGCGCGAGGCCGAAAGATCATACTGCCTGTCAAAGTCGAAATCTACCAACATGAAGTGAGTGTGGCCCCATCCCTGCTCGTCGACAAGCTTCTCATTCAATCCATTCCTCTGGGCGACCTCTCGCCATACGTCTTTGTTCTGTTCAATGAACTCTAGCATAGGTGTAGCATTGGCGTCCGGGCTGCCGCCGACCAGACCGAAATGCTCACAAAGCTTCGGCCACACTTGGGCCCAGGTTACCGTCTTCCCGTCGGCGATGTTGAAGGCTCTGCCATCGCCACACTTCTCGGGATGAAGGGCAGCAAAGATCTCCATCCTGGACAAAATATCTTGGAATGTATCTGAGTGGGTGGAGTGGTACCCGTGTTCGTAGCCTGGGAAAGGGACTGTGGCTCCGACACCCTTGACTTCCCTGTACAAGATGAGATAGATCGCTATACCTTGTGACATGTTCATCGCATTCGATCCTGGAGCAAATCCTACAATTCCGTCCGGGCGGATTTCGGTAAAAGTCCATTTCTTCCCCCGTGACAGATCCTTGAGCAGGTCATACTGTGGATAGTAGAAGATTTTGCTGGCCCACGGCTCTGGGATCCGAGGGTAATCCTCCTTCAGGGGTGGCTGAATCTTTACATCCTTTGGAAATTCAAGGCCGTACCTGCCAGGGAATGTCAGCATTGAAGGATGACATACGAGGAACTGGGCATCCCTACCCTTTGCCTCCTGTCTGCAGGATGAGCACTTTGAAGTCTGCCGCCACTTTTTCTACGGCTTCCACTGCAACCTTGAGGAGGTTGGTATTCGCCACCTTGAGAGACTCGTGATCGTGCGTCTGGATGTATGCTGTAATCTTGTCAGATTTTGGCTGGCAACGGAAGTCGTTTCTGGCTATTAATTACCTGTAAAGAATACGTGCGTCACGGTAGCAATGTCTGGAACCTTCTCCTTGAGTGTGGTAGCCACTTCGTCTGCGCTCTTTGTCAAGTTGATGCCATCTGCAATTTGAATGCGATCATCGCTTGGAATCTGCAGCTGCTCAAGAGTGGCGGGCCGGTTTGTCGTGCCGGTGATACGAGCAAAGGCAGTTTCAGAGGGGTACGTTCTAGCTTGGTTGAGCAGCGACCAGCCAGAGATGCCGGAAGCGCCGAGGATCAAAGCGTGTGCCATTTTCGGATAAGCTGAGCCTTTGTAGTGTAGTAGTGTATGTAATGTATTGCTTCTGTACTGAGTAGAAAGATGCCCTTTTATCGTGGGATACCCAGCATTAATACTACAATATCCAGAAGAGAGTATTATTAATCCAATACCAGCTTTTGACATCATGGCACACACCCTTGTCGAGAAGTGGATAAACACGTAGGTAGAGTAAGAACTGGGTATTCGCCGTCTAATTGTAGCATGTCAGTGGCTGATTGGCTGAGACATCGGAAAGCAGAATCCGGACCCGACTGGAGCAGCAACTGTGGTGACAGAACAACGCTGCCTCCACTTTGTCTCCTTGAGAAATGGTTACCTGGAGGGTAGAGGGCCGATAATCGAAAATGGGGACATCTGACTCAGGATATCTATTTGCTAAACGTGAAGTTGTGTTTAGTGCAAAAGCGCATATGCATGCTATAGCTAGATGGGTCGGAGATAGGAAAGTAGGTTCGTTGAGGCCATCAGGATCGACACAGTGTAGATAGCTGAGGCTGAGGCTGCGGTTGATATGATATCTTAAAACGAAAGCCGAAGATTTGTTCTGCCCCTTGAAGTAGAGGCTTTCCACCTACGAAGGGACACGGTCATACTGATCTACGAGCCAGCAAGTAAAAGGGAGTTCTTTTAAGATTGACTTCTACACTACCGAAGCCCGCTGCTCTTCAAGTTTATAGAGAGATGCCTAACGAAGCTTTGCGCTCAGATATGGGCTTGAGAGAGAGGCCGGGTGGACAGAAATTCCCACTCTGCTCAGCCCATAGATAGCCGCCGTGGATGCCAACAATATAAACAGGGGGGCCGAGCTCTGCAGCCAGCGCCGGAAGCTGTTCACGAACCATAGTTTGTCGCCGCCCTTTCGAATAAATGCCTTGTGGTCAGTGAAGAGGGTGGCAAACCAGAACTCGATGGCCATCCCAGGCCAAGAGGCAGCATTGCGCCCAAACTCTCCAATATACCAGTTGGTGCATTTGCCGGAGAACACACTGTTACGGAGCTTCAAGTGAATTTCGTTGGTGGTGCGATTCTCCACTGTCTCCTTGACCTCGAGGACGGTGGCGTGCCCATCGATAAGAGGTCTCACCAGTGCCCTCGCAGCGTAGTCTACCTGGACCTCGCACGCGTACAAGGCCGAGTTGTTCGCAGGGAATGTGTTTGGACCAAATCTGCTCTAGTTAGCCAAGTGTAACCTTTGGTGGATCGTGACTCTTACAGAATGGCAAGGTTAGGAAAGTTGTGAACAAAGGTCCCGAGGTACGCCTGCGCTCCTCGGCACTCGTTCCATTGCTGTTGGAGGGTGCTTCCATTGGCGCCGACAATTTCCATGGGGGTTAGAAACTGTGATACTTTGAAGCCAGTGGCGAGAACAATGATATCATACTCATCTTCTCTTCCTGAGGAGCTGATGATCCCAGTCTCGGTGATTTTCTGAAGACCCTCAGGGATAAGCTCAATGTTGTCTCGGTGAAGTGCCTCGAGATAGCCTGGGTCAGCAATCTTTCGCTTACACCCAAGCTCAAAGTCGGGCGTGAGAATTGCGCGGTATTTCTCTGGCGCGTTGCGGCGGATATAGTCTCGAGCCACTTCCTCTTCTTTCAAGCGCTGCTGCACACCAGCGTCGGTTCCACGGTACGCATACGACTGCTTGTCTATGGACCAGAAGATGTTCCAACGGCGCAAACGCATGAGGAAAGGAACAGTACGGAACAACCACTTCTGGAAGCCCGTGAAGTGGCGGTTGGGGCGCTCGTGATACCACTGGGGGCTGCGGGCATACTGTTTGACATATTCGGCCTTCTCAGATAATGCAGGAACGACCTGGACTGCGCTACACCCGTTGCCAATGACAGCCTAGACAGTAACACTTATTAACCAGCTGGACATGAGATGTTCAAGCTCGTGGTTGCACCTACAACCCTCTTCCCAGCGTAGGGCACATCGTGGCGCCATTGTGCGGTATGGTAGATCGGGCCTCTGAAGTTCTCCATTCCTTCGAAGTGTACCTTGAAGATCGATGTCAGTCTAGGACCCAGGCTAATAAAGATGACTGTAACATACCTCTCGCGGCACGGAGATTCCGCCGACTGCCGATATGAACATTGTGGCAGTCCTTGTGAATTCTATGCCCGTCTTGAGATCCCTCAGGCGGACTCGCCACTGATTCTTGGAGGAATCCCATTCCGAACCGATGCATTCCACTCCGAGATTGATATGAGAACGCAACTTAAATTTATCCACCGTGTCTTCAATGTACTGCAAGATCTCTTCCTGCTCAGCTAGCTCTTTCGACCAGTCTGGATTTAGGTTGAAACTGAATGAGTATAGAGTTGACTGAACATCGCAGCCACTGCGTCAATGTGTCAGTAAAGTCATGCTCAATCAGCATCATGGATGTGGTGTGTTGGTTCCTCCATGGTAGGCTGATGCGGAGATTGAAAAGACCAAACTTGGGTCAGAAAGCACATACCAGCCAGGATACGAATTCGCTCGCCAAGTGCCCCCGACACCGTCCATCTTCTCGTAGATTGTGAAGTCGTCGAACTGAAGCTCGTGCTTCAGTTTGTGGGCCATGGCAATGCCAGATGGCCCAGCGCCAATGATGATTGCGGAGACTGGCATGATGTCTTGATGAATATTACTTTCGCAAAGATTCTAGGATAGCGCAAACGAAGCGGTTGTAAAGTTTACTAAGAGCTCTAAAAATGAGAGAATGCCGTTCGCGGTGAGGAAGACCTTGCAACATACTCCCAGATCTATGTACAATACCAGAAAGCCATCGAATACTCCATATGACGCTGGACGATTCCGATACTGGCCGCTATATCGGGAAATCGCGATTGTATGAAACGGACGACTGAATGGGAAGCATACTCCGCGAATCAATGTTCGGGATCTGGTTCCCGGCCCGATGCTGGTTGCTCTGACAAAGCCGGGTTTGAAGATAGACATCCACTGACTTGCCCATGCCAAGAACTAGTGATCCAGAGAAGTCCGACTGAAAGCTATAAAGAATGAACGGAATTAGTAGAGCGACAAAAACAGTGCGCATGTATTATTCATAATCTGTCAAGAAACGGAGGCACAGATGTCATTAATAATGCTGGCTCAGGAGCTGCACGCAGCGAAGGACCTTAGGCTGGTATGTCTTACCCCCTTTGCAATTATCTCTAACATCGGGGAGGGGGGGGGGAGAAAAGAAAAATGTAACTGAAGAGTATACTGAAACCTGTTGACACGTCTTTCACCGGCTTATTAGGTGAGGAGGTCGATTGCACCTCCCGCAGAGGACGAGGTGCAGATTGCAATGAGAGCAACTACGCTCTGTGGCTCTGACCTACACTATTTTACCCATTTTGCCAATGGAGACTTCAAAATAAGAGAGCCTCTCTCTCCAGGACACGAATGTTCTGGCGTGATCGTTGCTGTTGGCGCGGCGGCGGAGAAGGAGCGTGACCTCAAAGTTGGCGACAGAGTGGCGGTAGAGGTTGGCGTGCCGTGCGGCGACTGTAACCACTGCGCAGAGGGCACGTACAACGTTTGCGGAAAGCTCAGGTTTCGAAGTAGTGCCACGGCTTTCCCCCATTATCAAGGCACGCTGCAGCAGCGATTCAACCATCCGGCGCAGTGGGTTCACAAGTAAGTCATCTGCCTTACAACAGTATCTGTCGTGGTACTGGTAGCTGACTGAGCAGATTGCCTGAAAGCATATCATTCGCGGAAGGTGCTCTTCTTGAGCCATTGGCCGTTGCCATTCATGCTGTACGTAAAGCAGATGCTAAGAAGGGCGCCAACTGCCTGGTCGTTGGAGCGGGTGCCGTGGGACTTCTCTGCGCGGCCGTGGCCAGGAGCTTCGGTTACCGATACATTGTGCTGGCCGACATTGTCCAAAACAGACTCGACTTTGCGCTCTCTAATGGCTTTGCTGATGCGGTTGTTAAACTTCCGGCTAGGAGGCTCGGCACCATTGAGGAAGGTCTGGCTTTTGCAAAAGAAGACGCGGAGACCTTGCGTCAGCACAACGGCGACGAGGCATTCGACAGGACATTTGAGTGCACAGGCGTCGAATCTTGTGTGAGAACGTCGATATATGTAAGTACCTATGATACGATATTCTTGAGACTATCGTGAAAAAGCTGACTGACTACCAAAGGCCACTGGCAATGGGGGCAAGATACTCCTTGTCGGTATGGGAACACCGGTCCAGACGCTCCCTATATCGGCCGCAGCACTGCGCGAAGTTGATATTCTCGGTGTTTGGCGTTATGCAAACTGCTATCCCCGTGGCATAGAATTGATGGAGCATGCTGGGCGGGACGGCAGCCCGGATCTAAAGAAGCTCATCACGCATTCTTTCCAAGGCTTAGAGGAGGCCGGTGCTGCCTTTGACATGGCCTCAAAGACTTGTGATGAAGAGGGTAGACTAGTGATCAAGGTAGTACTAGAAAATGCCGAGTAATAGAGGGGATGGGGAATTTTACTTTTTATTTACTTTTTATTGTAATGATCTCCAGCCTTCACTATCACGCATGAATCTGGCTTGTTGAATTTTGCAGCCAAGTTCATCAAAGCGATGGCCAAACCCACGGCATTTGCAATTCCTTGGCCCAATGGACCAGTTGTGACTTCGACACCCGGAATCTGGATTTCGGGGTGGCCATGTGATATGGTGTGATAACCATTCGCCTTGGGACTTGCGTACCCTCTAAGCTCATCCATTGTCCAGACATAAAAGCCAACCAGATGATTCATGACATAGAGAAAAGTGCTTGCATGCCCTTGGGCTTTTCGTCATATGATGTTGTGAGAGCGGCATCCGCAAGTCTCACCATTAGAGAGAACAAACCTATCCCGACCGAAGCACGCTGGATCAGAGGGATTGTATCGCATGGTATACTTCTATAGGGCAACTCCATACCGATGGCTGAGCCGCCATGGCCAGTACCATGTTGGTTGCAAAGATCAGCGACAAGACTTCGCACTGCTAGCACGGCAAGATCATCATATAGCTTAGAAACCCATTTTCTTGTCCATTGACTTTCTCGGACATTGTTCTCTATCTGTTTGCGGCTTTTAGCTGTATGCGCCTCTGTACTGAAAATGACTAGCGGATTGATCTATGATCTGGAAGATGTAATAAAGGAGAAACAGAAGACCACTAACAACGACCATGATAGCTTACATTGCTACAGATATATCGCCTAGCAGCACCCTTCAATTGGCTGTTCTGGTCGAACGGTCCGAAGTCGTATTTTCCGTCCCGGACATCGTGATCGGGAACAAGAACCCGATCTCCATTCTCCCCCTTCTCACGCCCGGACCAGAGTTCCCGAACGGCAGATCGCCACTCCACCATCATGATTGATGCAAGTAATTATGCCTCCCCTTTTGAACCGTATTCATTGTGTTTAGATGTCAGGTCTGGCATCTTCTATTGTTGTTTAACTTTATACTGGAACTCTCTTCCGTCTCCCCTGTTGAACAGCTCCCATTATTTCTTGGTCTCTACAATACCAATCGTATAATATAACGTGTCCTGCTTTTTGTCTTCTGAAGTTGAAATCATACTCCTCCCCCAAGTCACTATGACACCGGCAAAGCACAATCTCCCCCAGCGACTCCGTGTTGGAGTTGTTGGGATTGGTCGAATGGGGCGGCGCCACGCAATCAACATTCTCCATGAGGTCCCACGGGCAACACTTCTTTGTGCTTGCTCTCCTGCAGAGTCGGACCTCGTGTGGGCGGATGAGCATCTCGTACCGCACGGGGTTCATGTGGTTCCCACGTTTGAGGAGATGATCGAAACGCCCGGCTTGGAGGCGATCATCATTGCTTCGGCTACCCATCTACACACCTCGCAAACGACGGCAGCATTGGAAAGAGGCCTACATGTCCTCTGCGAGAAGCCAGTCTGCCAAACTCTAGACGAGGTCAGTGGCGAAGTTCGAGAAATGGCGCCCACGTGTGGCTAATGTTAAAGTAGCTCGTCGCCCTAGTTGATAAGGTCGAAGTTAATCCCCAGGCGAGGCTCATGGTTGGGTTTGTACGTCGATTCGATACCAATTACCAGCAGGCAAAGGAGCAAATTATGGAGAACAAGATCGGACGACCCGTCGTGATACGATCGCAGGGTTGCGAACCTCTAGACGAGAGCGCTTACTACAAGCAATATCTTCGAGATTCGGGCGGCATATTTGTAGACAGCATCATTCACGACATAGATCTCTCCCTGTTCTTCTTTGGGGAGGACTCTAAACCAAAGTCGGTCGCCGCTATGGGTGTAGCTGCCGTCCACCAAGAAATCGAGGCACACGGCGATGCTGATAACGGCGTGGGCATTTGCGAGTTCTGGGACGGCAAGATTGCTTTCTTCTATAACTCGAGGACTACGGCACATGGATACGACAACGCGACTGAAATATTCGGGACACGGGGCAAGCTGTCAATAAACTTGATCCCTCGACACAATGCCCTCGAGCTGTGCGACGAGGATGGTTTCGTCAAGACATTTGCCCACCCGGGCTGGTATGATCGCTACGCTTCCGCTTTTGTTGGTGAGGCGAAGGCATGGGTAGCCGCTTTGCTTGATGGGAAACCTCTTCCAGTTCCTTTGCGATCCTCATTGACATCTCTCAAGATAGCTACCGCACTCCAGCTGAGCTTAAGGACGGGCCAGAAAATATTTTTCGACAAGCAGGGTGTTCAGTTGGACTATCAACCATCAGTAATTTGATATTGGTTTATATATATCAAATAGATGAACTGAAATAAAAGAGTGTTTTGCATCTGCTAGGAATAATTGGACCAATGTAAAAACAATACAAACTCCATCTTGTAATCCTCATGCTGGTATTTCCATATCGAGTACTGGCCATATTCCTCCACGTAGCTCACAATTGTGTTTAGTGGAACTTTGATAATGTTCTTGATAAAAACTCGTGGAAGTTGAGCCTTTTAGACCACAATAATCTGTGAATATAGGGAGGTGCTTGTTTGAAAATATTGTTTACTTGAATTCGCTATGGAAGACAGACATTATTTACAGCATACCCACTCCGCGGCGATCTGGGATGGATTAAGGCAACGCCATCATGCATGTATTGTTCTATCGGCACTTGGCTACTATAACCAGCCAACTGAATACATGAGAAATGACACCTTGATAAACATAACCAGAACACAGTCGATAAAATATCGGAGAAGATACATTGCGAACGAAGTTCTCGTCAAGATCTCACAATCGTTACGAAAACGGGCCCCAGGCAGGGAGAGAAGCCTCACTCTGACACTAAAAATGCTTTGCTTCCGAAGAAACAATAGTATATCTTGTTCAATCCAGTATGCAGGGAATGAAGCCCGGATCGGAATTGCGACGTTGGCTCGATGTCAGGCGGTCCATCAGTTACAGCTACTCTTGCTATGTCTGTTGGGAACATGCAAGACGGATGGAAGAGCTTCGCTCGCGGCTTTTTCGTTGTCAGTACCACCACCAGCTCCTTCAATGCTTTCAATAGGTGCGCTCCGGTCGAAGATGTTGTCGATCTGCTCCAAGCTCAACCGCGCAGTCTCCACGTAAAAAACCTTGCAAATAATTGCAAAGGCAGCGTTAAGAACAGCATAGATGAGGTAGTATCTCCAGTTGAGGTTTCTGATGCCTACAGGCGTCACTAGAACAACCACATAGTTGTTGATCCAGTTTGTGGCCGTTGCGACACCTGCGCCCGCAATCCTCATGCGTTGTGTGTTTACTTCAGCTGGGTACATCCATGGGACGGCGATCCAGGTCAAGGCAAAGACGGTGCTATATCCAAAGACAAAGGCAACCGCAACCGCCTCCCATCTGCTGCCGCCCAGACTAAGCCCAATGCTGATGAAGCAGAAACAGATCGACTGTCCCACGGCGCCCCAGACCATGAGCTTCTTCCTTCCTACCCCTTCAATCCACAGGGCTCCGAGGACGGTAGAAATAGTCATGTTCATGGCGTTGCATGAGGACAAGATGAGGGACAGGTTACGCCCAACACCTAGTGAGGCGAAGACAACAGGCAGGTAATAGAAGAGTGCGTTTATGCCACTCCATTGCTGCATGAGCTGGGTGCCTGCGCCAAGAATGATTCGGCGCGTTGTCTGAAGCGAGTCGCTTTTCAACAGGCTCCTTATATTGATCTTGCCCATAGACATTTCGTGTTGTACGCTCGCTCGAATCTCTTCGTGTACGGTTCGGTTCTCGTCCTCGGTCTCCGAGTTCCCGCCCAGCCTCTGTATGATTTCGAGCGCCTCCTCATTGCGTTCCTTCATGATCAGCCAGCGCGGCGAGTCGGGGAGAAAGGGGACAAAGGCCATGGCCAGGATTGCCCAAAAGCATTGAAAGGCCAGTGGAAATCTCCAAGAGACGCTGTTAGAAGAGATGAATGTCATGCCGTAGTTGATCCACTGAGCGGTGACGTTGCCGCATTGGTTGAGCGCAAGCTGAAGGACCATGACTCGCCCACGCCACTTGGCAGGTGCAGTTTCCGACTGCCACACGGGGATGGACGTAGTATTCATGCCATTTCCAACGCCGGCAACAAATCTGCCGATGATCATCTGCGCCGTATGGTAGGATGTCGTTTGTAGGATTGCACCGATAATCAGAACAATGCAGCCAGCCAGGATGGTCTTGCGGCTACCGAAGTGGTTTCCGCGCCACATTGTAAGTAGGGCACCAGCAAAGCAACCAAGATCATATATGGCAGTGATATGTCCTTGGAGAGTTGGATCGGGGTTGTTGAAGGTCTTGATGAACGACTCATTGTCCAGAAGAGCCCCAAAGACACCTTGATCGTAACCGAACAAGGCGAAACCTGCCCCCGAGGCAAAGGTAATATAGAAGGAGAGCCATTTCCCCTGAGATGTCGATGGCCACATCATTTTGTCTGAAATACAGTATTTTCGAAAGATAAGTAAGGTTGCTGATTCCAAGATACAACAGCCTTGCACATCTACCACGCCTTATGTAGGAGTTTGGGCAACAATAGTCTTCAAAGGGTAAATAATACTCCCCGGAAGGTGGTATCCGAGTGTACCTATCCAATATCTGGCTACGCACGACCAATCTTTGGAGAAGTCCGGGGAAAAGTGTCTGGGGTAGATTTGCGAGACATGAGCGGGAGAATACCGCCGCCCACCTAAGCCACGCATTCCCTATCCGATGTGATTTATTCTATTACAAAAGTAGAATAGTGCAGAATTTCCAGGCTCATCAAGCTGCTGACTTCGAGGTTATACCTTGTGGGCTTAGACCTTATGTGTCTCAGCACGGCTTCCATATTCCGGCAACAAGCTACCAATGAACTTCTGCTTTGTGTACATGATGGAATTAGAAATAGATGCTATAAGTCATGACCCCATGCATTATATTGCCTCCTTCATCACTTACTCTATCAGGGTTCAGGATAATCTCTCGCCGAGCAACCATGTCGCAAGTCCTCTTTGAAAAAGTCATCATGTATGTGATTTTAAAATTCAAGTTTTCACGCTCTGTCGTTGGCTCATCAGAGTAGAATCACAGGAGCCAGCCAAGGAATTGGCCGTGCCATCGCAATTGAATGTGCACAGCACGGTGCACTATTGGTTATTCACCACATTGGGGATAATAAATCCCAGCAAGACGTGGAAGCCCTTTTGAGCGAGATTAGTGCCATCAGAAATGCACAAGAGACAGCTCCCAGTGCTGTACACATTGGCCTTGACGTGACTGGCCCTGACGCCGGGAAACGGTACGAGATCTACACAGTACCTAATCCCGCTTATGTTTGCAAGGAAAATACTTATCAATCTACTTGTCCAGGCTAGTAGACCTAGCAGTTTCGACGTTTGGAAGAGTCGATGGCATCGTCCACAATGCAGGTATCGCGCAATTTGTTGACTTTGGCGCGGTCACCAAGCAGCAGCTCGACAAGCATCTGTCAGTAAACTTCGGTGGCCCATTCGCCATCACCCAAGCTGTCACTTCACAGATGATTGCACAGGGCTCTGGAGGGTCCGTGGTTTCGATTGCCTCGGTTACAGCCACGACAGGATCAAGTCAGCTCGCTCACTACGCTGCAACCAAGGCTGCCGTCCTGGGAATGACTGTCAATGGCGCCGTTGCCCTTGGCAAACATGGTATACGGTTCAATGCTGTCAGCCCTGGAACCATCACAACTTCTATCAACGAGGCAGACCTCTCAGGCCCAAAGCGAGCAGCCATGGAGGGTAGAGTACCGCTGGGGCGTCTAGGAGTGCCGGCAGACATCGCAAAGCCAGTTGTGTTCTTCCTCAGCGACATGGCACAATATGTGTCAGGCCAGAACTTGATTGTAGATGGGGCAGCCACAGTCTTTTACCAATAGTCGTTTGAAGTATAGAGATACTGGGATTGATCCATTAGTCATTTTGTCTGGGATGGCTAGTGGCGTCAAAATTTGCGCACGTCGGGATATGGATTCCGAGATGGTGGCCCCTGTCCTTGATACGACTCTCCTTGAGCTCCGACTTTGTCGCAGAGGCAGAGTTAATAATAAAATACGAATGATTTCAGGGGCTAGATCTGACGCAACCAGAAGCAAGTACCTCCCCATGGGGAACAGTTAAGATGAGATCCAATAGCTATAATCAATACTAATAGCTTCGTGACGTCGAGATGTGTGCCTCGGACTCATTACTAATCCTTTTCTCGGACGGCAAACTCTGAAGCACCGTGGCACATTGCAGACCTGATACGATGCTCGCCTGACGCGCTCCTAACCAGAGAGGGAAATCGGATTGCGGGGAAGAGGATAATTTATTCTTTGCGGGACATTCCTCTCCACACTCTGAAGAACCCCAAAACCCATCCCTTTCACCAACATCCCTTCATCGCGAAGATGGTCGATGCTGGCAGTCATCATCATTCTGTGGGCCGTCGCCATATCAGTAAGGCGTGCACGCCATGCCGCGAGAGCAAGATCAAGGTCAGCAAGCACCTGCGATTCCTTCTCAAGATGGTCCAACTGAACTCAGACATGACCTTGTAGTGCGATGGAGGACGCCCTGTTTGTGGCGTGTGCAAGGCCAAGAGTCGAAAATGCAATTACGATATCGGCATTGACAAGCGGAAGTATGCCGCTGACATGTCCTTGGGCTAACCTCGCTGACTTGGTTGCTAGGATCTCATTACGGAGAGCTGTTGAGCTATATTCACGCCGAGTTGCCCAGCTAGAATCGTGCCTGCGTCGTGTGGGCATTGCGGTACCAGATCCTGCTCCTGAGGACAGTCGCATGTTGCGTGACCTCTCACAGTCATGGGGAGCCGATACTATTGAGAAGTCAGAAGCCACAGCCCAAGATATGAATGGCCAAGAACAGCTCCATGCCGTGGGCGACCGTTCTGTTCTTTCTGCCGTCTCTGAAACCGCTCCGATTACAGGGAACCAAGCACAAGCACCCTCTGATATTGAGCCGGACCAATTTCCGCTCATCTTACCTGGTGGCGGTTCAGAAGTCCAGCTTGGGGATTATATCCCTTCACCTTCAAACCAATCACCCAACTTCCCTCATAGCTTGAACATGGACGCAGATCTTGTCTGGTACATGTCAACACTTCCGTCACTGTCCATAGATATTGATGAGTCTTTGTTCTCCGGCTCTCTACCAACCCTTTTACCTGATGACAGTTCCACAGAAAGACTCAGCAACCTTACTTCCGACCCTTCAGCCGCCGACGAAGATGGATACGATGACACTGACGAAGAGGATGCAGCAGGAGTAACATACCAATTCTGCGACCGTCTAGGAACTCTACTACCTGCACCAAGTGGAGAATGGAGATTTTACGGAGCGACGTCCAATTTGCATCTCGTTCACGGTGATCTCGGATACAAACCACCAGGGACCAAACACACCTCGAACACGCCCCAAACGACCCTTGAACACGCTGGCGTCGGTCAGGTGGTCGATGATAAGCTCATTAGTCACTTAATCAACCTCTACTTCACATGGCAAAATCCAAGTCTTCATGTCGTCGATCGCGCAGCCTTTGAAGCAGCCCGCGAGAAGCGCCTGACCGAGCAAATCGAAAACGGCTTTTATTCGAAATTTCTCGTCAACGCCATGTAGGTCATGTCCTTTACGCAGTCGATTCATTGCTCATGGTTTGTAGATGTGCCGTAGGTGCGGCCTTTGAGAGAGTCAAGCATCCAGAGCTTCCGACCCCATTGGCCGGGTTCTTTGCCAAACGTGCAAAGAGCCTGCTAGACTTTGAGCTGGACAATCCTCGACTTAGTACTGTCCAGGCTTTGGCAATTCTTAGTATTCATGAGGGAGCAGAGACTCATGACACACGGGGATGGCTCTACAGCGGTGGGTTATTCATGGTGACCTTCCCCTTTGTTCCCGACTGAACAATTCGTTTCATCTAGGGATGGCCACGAGGCTTGCCTTTGATTTGGGTCTCCATGTAGATCCCACGCCATATGTCTCAAGTGGAAAGATGGCAAGCGAGGAAGCTCGAGTACGTAGTGTCACGTTCTGGGGAACGTTCGCAACAGATCGTATGTGGGGGTTTTATCTAGGTCGACCGTTCCATAACACACTAGAGAATGTGACCGTGCGGCGTCCATTCGAAGACACATTGTGGGAACCCAACGCTCTTGAGACGGCCTGGACACCTTATGGAACGCCAGCGAAAGACCACGAGACGTGGCCGAATGCACAAGAGGCTGTTTCTGGTCGGTGGGTCGCGTTGTATGAAATCATGTCCGAGCTTGGATACAAGATGTAAGTCAACAGCTTATCAGGAGGCAGAAACACACTAACATCAACCAGGATAATAAAGTAAATTAAAGAGAATAAAATTAAATGATTTATTATAATATAATTATAAGGTTATAAACCTGTCATGCTATAAACAGGGGCTACACAGAGCTCCCTATAAAAGGGCTAGAAACAGCCAGTAGATAGAAGCAATTCAAGCCTTAAGAATCATATTACCTCACACACAAGTGAAGGTATCATGAACCTAGGTTTCAACCACAAGCTATCCGACTATGGCTACCCTGTAGTCAACTTCGAATAACCCATCTACGGCGCCAGCCTGGTTGCGGCCAGACTCGAGCGTAACAAAACCTCTAGGTAAGAGCGCTTACTAGGATATATTACTCTTAAGGTTTTAATAATAAAAATATAATACTTTTATTACTTTAACTCTTAAGATAGGTTTATATATAATTAATATTACTTACTTATTTAAAAAGGCTTTAGATATAACAAGCTACTTAAAGCTTTATAATAGCTTGTAAAAATTAACCTACTTATTAATTAAAATAGATGGATCTGTGTATATAAATTTAGCGGACTGGGTAATATTTTCTACCATTATCTTAGAAATTTTATTAATTAGTATACAATGCTATCGAACGGTTAGACCTGTAGAGGCAGACTTGACCAATCTTCACGCCAATCGCTGCTACCCTCTTTGCGAGGCCAAATACGGCGAAACACTCCAAAGGTCGCGAAGCGGTGTTGATCTTCCTCTGATTCTTCCTCCGACTCGGTTGGCTCACCCTTATTCCATCGTGTCTCCCATTCTTTTCTGCTTTGATCCAGGGCCTCCCTTGTATATTGGCCTAGTTCCCTGATATTGATAACCTCCCTATCATCTCGAGGAAGTCGTTCAACCAGCCATGAACGGCTCATATTGGCAGTAAAGCCGGCCATGACGTCCTGTCCATTGCCAAATTCACCGACTCCAGTGGTCCATAATTTGAGAGATTCCAATGGCGTAATGACTTTATCGTGGCATATGGTCTCCCAGATTGATCGTGCTAGCGGCTCATCTACTGCGCAGTTCATCAAAGCTAGTCGCAGGTGGCCTCTCTTGATGTTCTTATATAACCAGGTTTTCCGATCGTCTTCGTCGAATGCAGCATCACAAGGGCTGTCTCGAAAAGGTCGCAAATCGGAACAATCTAGGATAAGGAACAGAGATCGCAAACGTTCCAATTTAGCTAAGGTTCTGTACAACTCAGCCTCGACCGCGTTGGATTGCGTGCGTTTGACCGTGATAGCAAGCTCTTCCAAGGCTGGACAGTATGCCTGGATTTGTGTTATATGCACCTTTGTGAATACCATTGGCATTTCTCGCCGAGGACTTTCATCTCCCGGGCGCACCTTCTCCAATGAATGTAGGCTCAACTTTTTCAATGTCCGTCCATGTTGATGTAAAATAGCATCAAAAATGTCGACTTCCAGCGGGCCTGTGACTGAAAGCTCACACAGAGGGTCAAACGCGCCCAAAAGGCTAGCAGCACTTTCACAGTAATGAGATCTTGTAACGCGGCGATCGTATGCCAGAACGATTTCGAGGGTTTTCAGCTGAGGAAAGGAGCAATTGTGAGTAATCCACTCCATGACCTCGCTATTGACACCATTTAGACCCCACCCACCCTTTTCACCTCCGAGAGCCAAGTGATGGAGGGAGCTAAAATCCGTATGCTTTGACCATCCCTGGATCAGGGCCGAGGAGCTGAGGTCTGCACACCCCAAGAGAGATAAAGAAGTCAAGGATCCAATTTTGCCAGGAATGAACCCTGGCAGGCCCGCCCAATAGCCTCGTTGGAGACGGGACCTGTTGGATAGATTTGGCCGAAATCTTACAAATTGGACCTCTTTAAGGTTGGGGGCAAGGCCAGCAACAAGTTGCATTATTGCCCCGCGGCTGAAGTCATCGGTGTCCTCTGAATCGCGCCAAGAATCGAGAAGTTTGACACTATGGAGGCATGGGGATGTAGCCAGGCTCATTCCATGAGTGGGATGTTGTAACAGGGTCTGTAGTCGGAATGTAAGGTGGTGAATTTTGCATTGGGCATGATTTTGATGGAGGGTATCTAGGAGGCCAGGTGGGAAGTGATTTGGGCAGTTATACACGATCTTGGCTAGAGACGGTAGTCCTTTAACCAGGTCAATAACCGGGGCCCATGCTGTATCCTCATCGGAAGATGGGTCCCAAAATTCATCATGAATGTAATAGAACCCGGAAGGAATTGGCTCCTTGTTGGGCAGGATATTGTTGATGCGAGGTTCTCTGACCCGAGTCGACTCCCACCAATCTAGCGTTCCCTTCTTTCCCACTGGTTTATCCATATCCAGAAAGCCTTCAAGGGTGAGGCTGTGGACGTGGCGAGCGGAGTCTGTGCGGGAGAGCGCCGCAACCAGGGCTGCGACATCATCTTTCAATTGCTTGGGATTGCGAACTGTGAGATGGACTTGACGAAAGTTGAATAGGGTGGCGGCCTCATGACAAGTTTTACTTGTCAAGGTCAATGCATCAAGACTGGGTGGATGCGAGTCGGCAACATGACCTGCGATTTGCTGCAATGTCTCGTGTGGCAGGCGTTGCAGGTAGCTGTCTGATGTGGCCGAGTCCATTGTAATTCAGCGCAGACGGGCAAGGCAGATGGTTTAAGTGAAGTGCTGGTACCTGGCGAGGAGATGGGAGAACTGCAAAATCCAACGTTGGCCTAACGTTAGATGCAGGGGTCTAAATCGTGTTGATGAGGTGGAGCTTTGAGGGTTCCGGTCGTCGTCACACATTTCTATCCTATCACTACACACTATTCGCCTTTATAATGACTTTTCTTTCAAGTTGATCTTTTATATCTCGAGTTAATTGATTTTTCCTCTTTTATTTAAAACTTAAGAGGTATTTTTACCAAGGTCTATAGTACATTGTAATAGTAAATGGACTCTGAGCATCTCGGTCTAAGACACATCTGGCATAGTGAGAAAGCTCAGCCTCTTGTATCTACGTGTCTTAATATTAGTGTCGGGGCGCGGCACGTTATTGAGAGCCGCCCTCTCCAAGCTAATGGCTTAATAGAGCGGACAAGGTTTTCTACTTACTCCCGCTTCTTTACCCGGATTAAACTTGGGACTCAGCAGCACAACATGAGTGATTCAACACAAAGTTCATCGGAGATACGGCGTAATCGGACTTGTGAGGTACCGGATCCATCCGCTGTATAGTGGGTAGAGGAATAGACTCAGCTAATGATCTCCTTTAGGGGTGTCGAAAGAGGAAGATCAAGTGCGTTCCGGATTTAGGCTCTGGGAATCCTTCAGGCAGATGTTCTAGATGCAATAAAATGGATCTAGAATGTATCTATAACCCCCCAGCAGTTAAGAGAAAACGGAAGAGAAACGAGACTCGAATCCGTGAGCTTGAGCAAAAGCTTGAGGAGGTTCAACAGTCTATTTCGAAGGAGCAAGGCGCCAACGGATGGACAGCGCGGGCTTCGGGGGTTTCTCCAATGACAGAGCCCATTAATGGCTCCTTACTGACACCTAGCCAAATCACTGACGGGCATTCGGGTTATGAATCATCGCCTGGGATGGCCGAGGGGCCCTTTGCAAAGGGGTATGTCAAGGATGATCCTATATCGCGCGGCATTGTTGAAGAATCCTTGGCGGACAAACTCTGCATAGTGTTTTGCACGGAAATGCTCCCTCATTATCCCCTGATCTTACCCCCCGCACCAATCTCATACCAGACTCTTCGCGATGATCGACCTGCAATTCTCCGCGCAATCATAGCAACAGCATCAAGCATTTGTGCACCTGACCTTTGGAAATCCTTGTTCCAGGATGCTGAACGCTACATTATGGAGCAGGCGCTGATGAGAGGCCGGAAAAGCCTAGATCTTATTCAGGCGGCATTACTTCTTGCCACCTGGAGTCATCCGCCCAAGAAATTTGAAGACCTTAATTTTGGCCAGTTCGTCAACATCGCGGCGACCATGATACTTGATTTGCGGTCATCGAATGATCCACAGTATCTGATTTCATCTGATTTTGTGGCAGCATCAACAGAGGGCTCATTGGAAGTTGCGAGAACATTCTTGGCATGCTACTTGCTCTCTTCTAGGTACCGTGGAATGTTTCCTGATCTTATGGCGTTGTTCTAATGGGTTTTCAGCGTAGCAATGTCCTTACGTCGATCCAATACCATGCCATACAACTCCTGGATTCGAGACTGTCTTGCTGTTTTGAATTCCACTGCAACCACACATATCGGCGACCGTCGATTGGTAGCATGGGTTCACCTGCAGAAGCTGGCGGAAGAGACCCTGGCTATAGCTGGGATTGATGGAAACTCATCGGGAAGGTCTACAGATTCGCGAACTCTTCTCATCCTCAAGAGCGGCCTGGAAAGAGTAAAGGCCTGGAGACAGACGGTCCCCGACGATATTATGCACGGTACATTTTCTTCCTTCTTTACTGTTTCCAATGAAATTCCAAGCTTACGCCAACAGACACTCTTGACATTCACTATCATGTGATACTCTTGAACCTTTCGGAACCCGGGCTGCATGGCAAGCATAACGCCAATGACTTCCGCCCCCCTTACGCTATAAACACAAGACCCACCGCCTATCCATTAATACAAAACCAACCACAATTTATTGATGCACGAATGGAATGTTTGGAAGTCGGCCGTAAGATGATGCAGATCTTTAAGCATATGTCTGCGGAGACCGTACGCCAGAAGCCTGTGATTACTTTCACAAGGATCATGTATGCTGCTGTCATTATTGTTAAACTGGCCGTGTTTGAAGGGCCAGATTCCAAGGAGTCTCACTCATCAGAGGTAGACTCGGACATGGAAGTCCTTCGTCAAGTCCTCGACAAACTGGTATCAGCCGCTGAAGGATCACGGTACCTCGTCCCAGCAACATTTTGTGCAGTCCTTCGAAGATTGCTCACTCGATGTGCTCAGAGGGATTCGCAGCCAACCAATGGACATGATGCACTCATAGAACCCCTTACCAATCTGGAACTGGAAGACTCGCCGGCCGAACATTCATCAACTCATTCGCTTGTAGATCCAGTTATCCGAATTCCCCCTTATCTACCAGAAGAGGAACATCAAGTCTCTGATAGTGAACCGCCTTCCCTCGGCATGGAGATTCCAGCCCCTTCAAACCCATTTACATTATTTGATGCCTATGTGGAGAGTCCACCAGATGATGTAGCTGCTGCCATGTTCTGGAATAACTTTCTCAACGAGGCTTCGTTCTGATCAAGGCCTATTAATTATAATAGAAAATGTTAGATAAGAATATGGGATCATCTTTGTCCTGGTGATGTAGTTGCCAAGCATTATAGAAGTCTACTGGGAGACTTGCTAATTAAAGTCATAGGGATACCTGTTGCTAGTGCCTCTATAACAAGTCTTCTTTTTAGCAATAAGAAGTTTCTTAAAGTGCGCATTTGGGATAATGTGGTACATGGGTGTGGGAACACATTGAGAGCATATAAAATGTACAGCTGCACGCAAAAGATATATTTAGACAACACTTTGCTATCCACTGTATTTGGCCAGCAGCTACTAACCCCCTCCCAACAAGATTATCTACTTAAGGTGTCGAAGTATTTACCACACGATCTCGATATGGGTTTGCTAGAGCTGATGAAAAGCACGGTGTTTGGGTTCCTAGGCTTCTGAACAAATTCCCCCGCCAGCCATCCAGTCCTTCACACCCTTGAGGGGATACACGTAGTCGGCGTGCTCAGTCAGTTCCTTGAGGTGTCTGACTTGGCCATGAGTAGGAAGCACATAAGCCTTGTCTGGCACACCATCTTTATCGACCTGATTGAGCCACTCTCGCATCAGCTGGCGATCATTTTGGGCATCAGGCATGCCTGGATGCCAAACGTCAGCCTCAATCACGGCAACATCAGATTTCTCCGTGGGACATTTTTTGGTGATAAAGGCGTAGGAGAAGTCGATGGCGTGCGTAGCCTCCTTCTCCCAAAGGAACCAGGCTTGGTACTTGTCATCGCTATGAACATAGGGATGGGTCTCACTGAAAATATGTTAGATAGGCTTTGCGTGAAAATATATCGAAAGACCTCACTTGAAAACAATTAGTTCTGCGTTGGGAATACTGGCCCAGTATTTAGCGGCAACTTCAGGCACGATCAGTTTGGCGCCCAGCTTGACATATTGGCTGGCGCCGCCGCTGTGGTCTCGGTGGTGATGGGTTGGCTGCCACTAGGTAAGCATTTATGTATCATGTTCGGGTGTGCTTCTCCTTTTCGCTTACCCAGAGATATTTGATGGGTTTTTGGATATTCTTCTCTATCCAGAGAATTACCTCCTTCGTCCACTGAGGTGGAGCATCCCCCACAATCACATGGTCCTCGAATTCAATAATAAATTGCTTGACACCAAGTGTGTCATCGTCAAGTGTAAGCCAATGTGTATTAGGGAGACCTGGAACCGGTCGATCGTGCTTGATCCCGTCGACAGTAGAATTGGTAAGTCCAGACCAAAGACCGTTGGAGCTGAACTCGGTGATGCGATCATGCGTGAAGCCCTCAATTTTCCTTGGCGCACTTTTAGGAAAGAAGCCCTCACCCTCTGGTAGGCCGCTGAAAAAATCATTTGGGAATCCAGGATTGACAGCTATTTCCTCTATGATGTAATCCTCAATCACAGCATCGAGCTTCTGGGTGCTGGAGTTGTACACTGTCTGGACGATATGGGGAAACTTGATGCCTTGGACAGCTTTGTAGCTAGAAAGATATAAGTCATTGGTAGACGGTCCATATATCATGTGATTTTCCTCTGCTCGGACGATGTGAGGAAGATGACTGGAACTGTCGAAGATAATGGTGATGTCGAAGGCTGGGTCGTAAACTAGGTAGGTACTGTAGTGTCAGAATAGTCCAGAGAAGGAGTGGAAACCGTAGTTCATACCAGCGGGCATGCTTGCCCCGTTAATTTCGACATCGACATAATTAATATTCTCGTGCATTTTGACCTAGGTAACTTAGTATACGATGCGATTAGTAAAGGCTGCCTGCAAGGCGACCACCTACTTGGAGGAGGAGCTTAGGGGAAAGCATATTTCCATGCAACACGAAGTATTCGGCAAGTGCAGCTATAACTAGAAGGTAAGAAGATGCAAAGGTGTTGGCATGTCGGATCCCTATATGTCTTTCCTTACCATCGGTGTATCCTGATGCAAGGTTTGTTGGAAGCCACACTTGGTTATTTCCACGAATGTAGCATGCAAACCCATTCTCGCCACCATGAACAACAAGTGAATGATCGAAATCATCGTTACTGGGAGTTGCCCAGGACCAGTACTCTGCATAATGGTTAGACTTGTTTGTAGTAATTGGTAGGACTAGTTACCGGAAGGGTGGAATTTGCGGTCAATTCGTTGAGTCAGCTCGCCAGAGTCAAAACTAAATGATATATTCTGGGAGCCAGAGACAGCGATCGGGGTGTCAGCGTGGTACAAGTTGTAGCTTTGCATAAGGCTTCGGGACCGATAAACACTATAGAGTATTAGCTGCGTGGTAAATTCGGATTGCAGGTGACGGCGCTGACGTGGGAGAGTAGTAGGTAACTCCATCAAGTGCTGAAATGACATCTTCTCCACCGAGTGCAGCCAAAGCTTGATCCAGGATATTTTGAGCAGAATTATTCCATCTGGGAGACAGTGCCTTTGAAGGGTCAAGCTGTGCCAGAGCTAGAAAGAGAGCAACTGTAATGCGAGACATGTCAAAAAGATAAACCAATTTGGATATAAGGATTACTGCATGGGAGTTTTGGTTGTTGATGGGTTTCACTGTCAATTTGGGAGAACATCCAGTACTTTTTATATCTCTTCTACATCTCTATGAAAGTCCCTTGAATTGAAATCACCACTTACCCAGAAGCGATTACCCGGTTATCTTGCCCGGGCTTACGCGCGGCAGATACAAATCACCTTCACTCCCAAGTCATATTTGACTCCGCGTCAGAATTTAACTCGTAATTAGGGCTATGCATGGATGATAGTCTACCCTTAAATGGAATAATGCATGATAATCTTAATGTAATTCATTTCAAAATGAGCCGCACGATGTTACACATTAAGAGATAGTGGCCACTCTAGATAAAACTACGCTGCATGGGACGATTCACTTCACAGCGATTGCAAGCATTAGTCCATCGAACTGTCTATACGGTCCGTTGTGATTGAAACTAACGAAGAGGCTACTGGAGTGGAAAACGTCAGTGTTTCTCTCGTCTCTTCCTCTCATCTTCTCCGATGGATGATTGTACGTTTCAAGATGGCTTAGACCTAGTAGGCTAGAGAACCCTTGGTCAAGCGTAAATTTACCAAGCGGGTCACGGAAGTAAATAGACTTCCGTGGCCCTCGATCGCTAAATGGGCTAAGGACATTACCAAGTACGTGCTGACCAACATGCTTACCGCTAAGCTATGATTTTTAGTGCGAGTCCGCGGCAGTTGGTTGTCTGCCTCAGCCGCACCCTCGCGTTTACGCCAGGCGTAGTCTACAGACTGCGGACACCAATATGAGAATTTAATATAAGAACAGCTTCAGCTTTTGTATTGTCAGAATTTCAAGAGGTTTTTTTTTACCAATAAAGTATACTATTATCAGGGTGACTTTCATCTCAACAATTTGGTCCTTGAAGATTTTGAACAAAGCATCTCATCGAAATGCGTATACTTATCATTGGAGGCGGTATTGGAGGACTTACACTTGCACAAGGCCTGCTTAAGGCTGGAATAGACGTGCAGGTTGTCGAGCGCCAGGTAAGACTGCAATCCCCATTTAGTCAAGCCACCCCGATACTGAACTCGTTATACTGACTGCCTTAAGATGGAGAGATCAGAAAATCTTGCAGGATATGGTCTTCACATTGATAAAAATGGGAGGCATGCCTTGCGGTCCTGTTTGTCGTTGTCAAATTGGACGTGCCTCCAAGCAAAATTTTCATCCGCTGGGACGCAGCTGTTCTTCCGTGACGCCCAGCTTAGAGTCTTGGCAGAGAGGGATGATGCTGTTCTAAGTGAAAAACCGGCACTAGAAATTGAACGAAGCGCTGTGGGTAGGATGGAGCTTCGTGATGCGCTGTTGGAAGGGTTGTCTAATGCTTCATCTAAGGTAATCCAATGGGGTCGGACATTCACACGGTACACTCAGCTCGAAGATGGGCGAGTACGAGCGTACTTCTCGGACGGCTCACATGAGGATTGCGACCTTCTCGTCGGTGCTGACGGACCCAATTCAAAAGTCCGTCAACAGTATATGCCAAATCTAAATCGCCTAGATCTTGGGATCCAGGCTATCGCCGGTCGCTACATTCTGGACGACGAGAAGATGCTAAAATTGCCGACGGAGCTTACCAACGGCTCGCTGAACAATATTGTGCCATCTGGGAAAGGGTGGATGTTTATTTCCTCCTGGGGATCAAAACAAACAGACTCAAAAGATCAACACTACGTGTTGTGGGCTTATGTCGTGCCAGCGGATCATGCCCCGCGGACATGTGAAGAAACTCTCGGCTGCGACCTCAAAGACAGTGTCCTTCGTAACATCAGTCAATGGGCGCCAGAGTTGAACGAATTGGTCAATGGGACGGATCCATCAACGATCAAATGCATACCAATTCGCACGATGCCTAACCTTGCTCCATGGGAACCAGGCAACATCACGCTAATCGGTGATGCCATCCATAACATGACCCCTATGGCTGGTATAGGCGCAAACACCGCTCTCCGAGATGCCGAAGTTCTGATGCAATACCTCATTGACGTCGCGGCTGGAAGACTTGGTCTAACTGAGGGAGTGGGGATTTATGAATCTACAATGAGAAGATATGCGAATGAAGCGCTCAAGCTGTCGACGCGCAACGCAATTAATGCTTGTGAGGGAGGGATGGCGCAGCGTTTCTTGTTCCGCAATTTTCTTCGAGCTGCTCATTCTTTTCCGGTTATTATGCGAGCTACTCTCGGACGTCAAGTCGAATAGTATACGACAGTGAGAATTTCATTCCTTTGTGTTTTAAATCATTGATCATTAATCAACGTCGCTTCTCCCAGCGTCACCAAGCTAACAAGACGTATCATCTGAAAACTGATCAACTACCAGGGAGTGCCTAGGTATTTTAGATGTTACAATGATTTAGAGTGTCTAAAAAACACATCCAACGTTGACAATGCCTTGCTAGGAAGTTTGAAAAGACCCAACGCAAGAGCATCCCAATATAAAGATAAATCTAGGATCTACGTTCCAGCCACTGCCTACACAAATTATCAAGCTTCGTAATACTAGTTACTAGATTACCCCAACTATTACTCAGCTGTTGAAGAGCTGTTTTATCTTGATTGTGGTCAAAATTTCATAGGTAAACTGGTGTATTTATTATGCGGGTTCAATCACACAAGTTCTCAACGTCTGAATGACCTCGCTGAGATGCCAAGTCGGATTTGTAGATAGGTGGATAAGCGTTTACTGGTAGTACTTGGTAATCAATCTATTCAATTCTGTTCGGTATTCAAAGCACGAAGAGCAATCCTCTCTCCATTGGGTTACTTTGGTCTGCTGCTACGGTAGTATGAGCAATGACATTTCATGATCAAAACTGCGCAGCAAAAGCGTCATCGAATTGCATCCATGACACGTAGCATGCTCCAACATGTCATGCGATCAGAATCACCTCCACCACTCTACTGGATAGTATAATAATCCCTGCTGCATCGTTAGTATTTTTTCGCTGCATTATTTACTCTCTGTGGCCCGGATGATTCACCCTAGAAGAGTTAATCGGGCTCACCATTCTGATATTCATCTTTTGTTCGCCTCCGAATATATCAAAATGTATCCCAATGTCAAATACCTGGCTCTTCATTTCTTGTTACTCACATGATAATTACTATCTGGGTAGCAATCGATCTGCACTCGCTTGTCCATCCATTATGAGCAATCAACCCTGCACTGCAGATCCCCTCATGTTCACATCAAATCACACCACACTTGAAGCGCTCTTAGTGTCTACGGTGTCAGAGTATGACGACTTGCTTGCGTCGTCAACCCGTCATAGTGAATTAACACTATTCATGCCATCACTCCGCAAGTAATATTACTCGCTACCTAAGGTGACGGACAAGCAGCAGTATGCACATTTTAGGGGTGTGACTGATCCGACAGGCTAATTTTGTTCACAAACGATACGCTGGATCTCTCAATAATTTGGTGACAAGTTATGTATTTTGATTTTATTAAGCACTCAGGACTGCTTTGCCAGTAGCCATAATTATATCATTAGATCGGACATCTCAAGCTCCAACGTAGCCTTCAAGTGCGGAGAAGAACCTGGCTGCTTGTTAGTGTCATCCGGTAGACGACCATTGAGTGCTTCGTGCATTCGGCATTTGAGCTGCCACCGAGCATCCATGCAGCGTTTCATCACCCCGAACATGTAGGTCTTGCTAGATATAAAGACCTACTTGACCCATCGCAGAATACAGAGAGCAGCCCAAACCACAGTTCTCCCACTGCTAAGTTATTACCTGATCGCCATGGACTTCATCTATCCCCGTAACGACGCCCTCAAGGTCAACCCTCCGGGAGGCCAATCACACCTCACTGATGGGGGCTCCAGTTGGCTCTTCGCCGTCACGGCTCTCTTTACTGTCGGCTTTGTGGGTTATTCCATGAACACCTCCGACGGTTGGCTACCAAAGAACCCAGCTAATGTTTGATCCAAACACCCTAGCTCGTTTATTTTGCACTGAGCTTTAGGCCGCTCCACGGGGAGAAAGTCTTCCATTATCTCTTCACAGTCGCCCTGCTTGTCGGCGCGATTTCCTACTTTGCTATGGGATCGGGACTCGCCTACTCAGTTATCCCCACGGAGCGCTATATTAGAGATGCCGCGACATACCAGGTCTTCTTCGCTAAATACATCTTTTGGGTTGTCGCCTTTCCGGTAATTATTGTAGCTATTGGTCTCGTCAGCGGCGTGAGCTGGGCCAGCATCTTCTTTAATATTTTCCTCTCATGGATCTGGTACGTTGGGTCTTATAGTATAGCTATTTAAGTTTGCTAATGGTTATGTATAGGATCGTTTCATATCTCTGCTCGGCCTACACTGCCACACGGTATAAATGGGGATTCTACAGCTTTGGCACCGTTGCCTACGTACTTCTCGCAGTCCAAACCATGTGGACGAGCCGCCCCCCGGCATACCGCTTAGGAATTGGCCGCGACCATACTGGGCTCTCAGGGTTTGTGAACTTGCTTTGGTTCTTGTATCCTATTGCGTTCGCTATCTCGGATGGCGGCAACGTCATTGGCGTCACCCAGAGCCTCATATTCTTCGGCATTCTCGATCTGCTCCTCGTGGGCGGCACCGCCTTCATCTTCCTCTTCCTCGCCCGCAGGTGGGATTTCGGTCGGATGAACCTGCACTTCACCCAGTACGGCCGTGTTGGCTCCCACACGGGCGCCGTCTACCCTGAGAAGGCCGGCGTGGGTACAACCACGCAAGCTGGCACAACTGCCCCTGCGGGCACCACCACAGCCACCCCGGCTACTACGGCAGTGTAAAACCCTCCGGCTAGCAAGCTGAAGAATCGTTTGGGGAGGGGATGGCTAAGAATTTGTAGGAGAGTAGGTGATGCTTGGATTGGAAAGTGCGAGGTTGGGCAGGAGGTTGTAGTTAATTCCGGTGCAGGTCAAGATGGGTATGGACAAGACAGGGTTGATGTCATTGATAATTGTGAGAAGCGCGAAATAGTAGCTGATAAGGGTTCAATCGAGTTTGAACAATTGCCACCGGGTGTCATAGTCTATCTCATAAGACGCTAATAGCTTTCTACTACTCGATTTTAAGAATTCTCAAAACACAAAGATGACTCTAACATATTAAGCAGTAATATATATATATTATATCATAACTATCTCTCAATGAAACAAACTATATGAATTTCACTTGAACCAATCGCTGGCAAGAATATTGATTGCTGAAGCCCTATGTGATGGCTCAAACTTGAGCATCATTGAAACTAACTTGCCAACCTCGGCGATATCATCCGTGGTGAATTCCGGTTGTCGATGGTCATCAAAGTAGACTTCTTTCAACCATTGACAAAGTGAATAACACTGTAGCGAATGGGTCTCCTCTTCGATGGGCAATTTCTCCTCCATCGCTTTCCATTTCTCCTGCCATCGTGGTGGTAGGCCATCAGTAGCGAATGCCACCATTTGTTGAACAAGATCCGCAGGAATCATTATGCTGTCAAATGGAGGCTGGCCTGTGACCAGCTCAAAAAGCTAATATTCATTGCCGTGTTAGATTATCAGTCAGGCTCAGAGTCATCATTGATTGCTGTCGAAAGTAGAGAATACATACCAGACATCCGGCACTCCACAAGTCCACCTGCTCATCCAGAGCATCTCCAAAAACAACCTCTGGTGCGCGTACAGGCAGCGGTGTGTGCAATGTTTTGGGGGGCTTATTGTTTAAAAATGCCTCGCCAAAATCGATGATTTTTATGAATGGGGATGAGGAGAGAATTCGATTGTGCGCGAATGTAGCCGGCCGAATGATGTGTGATGGGAGGTTATCCGGCAGGGCTGTCCATCTCGTGTCCTTACTGCACCGATCTCAGGCTTGCCGAGTTTCTCAAGGAATGTTTTCTCATCCAAAGAATCAAGTCCGGGTATCTCGATGGCCAAGTTTCGCGTGTGAATATCTGCAGAGGAAACGTAATTAGGATGGAAATCAGGCATAACAAGTGAGTAATACTTCACCTCCATGGGCAATACCGTGATGCGCAAGGAAATTCAACCCTTGGAAAGCTTGTCGCGCAATAGATTTTGCAAGACGAGCGGGAAGTCGGTCATCTTTGCAGAACGATTCGACAACATCCGCTACACTCGGGCCAAGAAGTTGCAACACAATACAATTATGGGCTCGCTCCATTAGGGCCAAGCAAAGTAAAATAATCAAGCATCTGAATTAGATGAAACCGCCCAGGATGATCGTTAGGAAGGGTAGATATTGCCTGTAATATTTTTACCTCACTTTCGTTTCTTGATTCGGATGTCGCAATTTTGACCGCGACGTATTGATTGTCTCTGACAAGAGTATCAGTATTCAGCTTTACCTTCATTGCCCTAGGGAAACTTACTGTTGATCCTTTGCAGCCCATGTTGTCGAATAACCACCCCAACCCAGCTTATGGAGGATCTTGTACCGTCCGTGGTTAAGGACATCGCCAATTGCCACAGGATGGAAGCCTCCTGGCCGATACCGGTACAACGGCTCTGCATCGACACCGCAATCGTATGACATTGCTGCGTAAGATGGATGAGTAGCCGTTGTGTTGTTCGAATAAAATCGGTGAAAGAAGTTGCTTAGGCTTGCCTTGAGCACCGGGGCTAGAAAAGTACGAGGAGGCATACTTGTCGCATGTGATGAAGCGTTGATTCTAGCCAACATGAAGTCTGTCCAGTTCAGCCTCCGTCAAAAGCAGCACCTGTGCCACAACATCTACCAGCGCCACGTCAGGCCAAATCTCAATAGCCTCTCCTGGGCGTAATAAATTATCATAATAAAAATAAGGTTCCCCCCTACCATGTGCCCCCAAATCTCTACATACCTAGCACTCGATACTCAACACCCAACACCATCAATTCCTCTCCCTTTATGCAGAGAGGGTTCAAAATATGGGTCACCGCCAAGTTGGAAAAACTCCAGGGCAAAGATCCAACCATACGTCTCCTTCCCGACCACCGAAAATACGCATTGCCAACAACATCTTCGACAGACTATCTTCTTGCTAAAGAGTCCCTATTCTTCAAGAAACTGCCGTACGAGATCCGACGCATGCTTCTGATTCTTGCTTTTGGCAACCATCGGATACGTATTATGATACCTCCGCCTGGGCTGCTAGGAAATTGTGGTAACTCCCAGCCGCTCGAGGCTCCTGCGCAGGGTTCCGCACCACGTCTGCGTGATCCTCCGCCGCGCCGCCCTCCTCGGGAGTCTCGTCTGGAACACCCCAGCCTCCGCCGCTCGGCGTGTGCACGACGCATCTGTCCCCAGCACCCATCTCGACCAACCCGCGCGGCGGGAGCTGGATCCACTTGTACGCTCCGTCCTCAGTCTTCTGCGCCCAAAAGTTGCGACCCGCGGCACCTGGCTCGCCCCCTCTCATGCCGTGGGGACGCCTGACCCGGCGCTCCGAGATGATGGAGAATGTCAGGGGCACGCGGCACTCCCAGTCCCGCACGATGCCGTCTCCGCCGTTCCACCGCCCTCTACCGCCGCTGCCTCGGCGGATGGAGAACTCACGGATGATGATGGGGAGCCTCTTTTCAAGGAGTTCGACGTCGGTTGTACGCGTGTTCTAAGGAGTTCATATGTCAGCTCAAGTCTTTGTCTCTTTTGGGGCGAGTTGCCAAGCAGTTACCGTCATGTGGATCTGCACGCCGGAAGCTCCGTGCCACCCCGGGCCGGCACCCTCGCCGCCACAGATCGTCTCGCCGTACTTGTACCCGTACCCGAGGATGGGCGTGCCGTCGGGCTCGTAGCCCGCCTGGTCGAAGAAGGCGAAGCAGTTCATGCACCCCTGGGAGCCCGACGCGGCCTCGAACGCCTGCAGCAGCAGGTCGGCGAGGCGCTGTGACGTGTGCGTGTTGCCGCAGGCCACCGCCGCCCCCGGTGACGGGTTCAGGAAGGTACCCCCGGGGATGACGACGTCGACGGCGCTCAGACATCCCTGGTTGAGCGGGATGTCGGCGCCGATCAGCAGGCGTAGCATGTAGATGATGGCCGAGTACGTGATGGCGGGGGGTGCGTTCATGTTGCCGTGCATCTGCGGCGAGGTGCCTGTGAAGTCAAAGACGGCGCCCCCGTCGCTGTCAATGGTGATCTCTACCGTCATGGTCGCCCCGTTGTCCATACCGTCGGTGGCCCGCAGCGGATTCGCGCCGCGCCGCGCCCGCGTCTCCTTGAGGAACGTCCTCACGGCCAGCTCGGCATTCTTCTGTATCTTGTCCATGTAGAAGTGGACAGTGGGCGTGCCGTACTCGCCCATGAGTGCCATGATCAGCTGACTGCCCTTTGTGTTGGCGGCGATTTGGGCCTTGAGATCCGACAGGTTCTCGGGCAGTTTGCGGGAGGGAGTCACCCGGGGGTATTGTCCAGGATCAGTGAGTAGCTTGACGATGCCCTTCTCATCAAACTTACCGTCTCGCACCAGGAAGAAGGACTCAATCATGGCACCCTCTTGCCATAGGTGAACCGAGTTGGGTGGCATGGACGTGCCGTCGAGGCCGCCAATATCCGTGTGATGTCCTCTGGAGGCCGTGTAGAAGCAGATAGTCTTGCCATCCGTCTCAAACACGGGGCTGATTACGGTAATGTCCGGCAAATGCGTGCCACCCGCTGTTGGATGGTTGCTCACAAGGACATCTCCAGGTCTCAGGTTGCCCTTGTGCAACTGGTGCTGGTATTTGACGGCGTAGCTCATACTGCCGAGATGAACGGGAACATCTGGGAACAAAAGGCTCGTCTATCAGCTATGTACAGGTGCACCCGGCGGACTAACCGGGGGGTGAGGGGAGGGTGGAGGGCAGACTTACGGGGCGCGTTGGCAACGAGATCACCCTCAGGACCAAAGATGGCACAAGAAAAGTCCAACCGCTCCTTGATGTTGAGAGAGATGCTCGTCTTCTGGAGCGTCAAGCCCATCTGTTCCGCTATGCTCATGAATCGATGCGAGAAGACGCTCAGCTTGACTGGGTCGACGACGTCAATGCCATCACCGTCGAGGTTCTTGGCTGTGACTTCTGGCATCTCAATCACAATGTGCGAGGACAGGACCTTTGCAATGGATCCCGGTATCAATACAATGGTCTGTGTGCTGTCCACGATGGTGCATGGACCAGGGATGACGGTTCCGGGCTTGATATCCTCCAGGTTGATGATTTGGGCGTCGACTGGGTCCCGGGAAAAGTACACACGGCTCTGCATACAGGTTTTTAGCTCTCTGCGATCCTTCTGGCAGACGTCACTGTCCTGACTTACCATTTCCGTCTGGGCGGGGGCTTCATTGTCGGAGGAGACCTGGGCCAACTGCTTGAGGAGCTCAGTGGCGTCTGCATTGACAGTCTCGCTCGTGCCGATTGCTCGGACCCGGATGTCGTCGACCAGCACCCTGTGGTCCGATGGAAAGGCGAATGAAAGCTCCCTCAGATGTGTTTCCTCGAGCGTGGTCCGCCAATCAACATCCCGCACTTGCTGAATCATAAAGTTGGTGTTGGTGCCGTCGTATCTGAGGTTGAGGTACGACTCGTACGCCGTGGCCTTCTCTGGGATGCCCTGCGCCGCCAGCCCCTCTTGCGCCTTTTGCTTCAGGACATCGATCCTTGCCTGCAACTTCGGGAGCGACTCATCGCCGAGTACTTCGCTGCTCGGCTCCTGGGCTTCCTGTACCACCTCGGCCAGAGCCATGCCGTAGGCGGACAGGATGCTCGAGTACTTGTGGATGACGACGCGTTTGATGCCGAGCTTGGAGGCGATGTCGCAGGCGTGTTGGCCGCCCGCCCCCCCAAAGACGGCCAGGTGATGCTGGCCCGTATCGAAGCCGCGAGCCTCGGTGATGGCGCGGATGGGCCGGCACATGGCCTCGTTTGCCACGTCGAGGAAGCCCAGGGCGATCTCGTGGGCCGTCATGAACCTGCCGCTCTCGGCATTGATCACGGCCGCCAGCTCCTCAAACTTCTTGGCCACGATCTCAGTATCCAGTGGCAGGTTTTCGTCTGGGCCAAAGATGGATGGGAAGAATGACGGCAGAATGCGTCCCAGGTAGACATTCGCGTCCGTCACGGTCAGAGGTCCCCCCTTTCGGTACGCTGCCGGCCCAGGGTGAGCCCCCGCGCTCTGTGCTCGTGTCAACACCCAGATAGTCTGCAACGCTGTGTCTTGGGAGTAGAACTTACTTCTGGCCCGACTTTAAAGAGGCCGTTTGTCCAAAAGAGCATACTGCCGCCGCCAGCAGCGACCGTGTTGATGTCCAGTTGCGGACTCTGGATAGACACTCCTGCCGTCTTGGTTTCAAAGACGTGCTCAAAGGTTCCGCCATAGCGGCTGACGTCCGTCGAGGTTCCGCCCATGTCGAAGCCGATCAGGGGAGTGCTACCGTCGTACGAGGTCCTCGCATATCCAACAACGCCACCTGCGAACATGTTAGCGAGGTATCCAGCCGTCCCCGTCCCCGTCCCCGCAGAACCAGGGAGGCTCCAAGTGACTTACCAGCTGGACCACTCAGGATACCGCCGAGACCGGTAAACTTGTCGTAGCTGGTAAGGCCGCCGTCGCTCTGCATAAACTCACAGATGACGCCTTCGAGGTTATTGTTCTCAAATCGCTTGAGGAACCCGCCGATATACTGCTTGATTTTAGGTGTCAGATAGGCGTCGGCGGTGGAGGAGCTACCCCGGGGTATCATTTTGATCATGCCTCGCCCAACTACTGACGAGACTGATACGTGCTGAAACCCCATCTCCGTAGCAATGCTGGCGATGCGGAGCTCATGGTCGGGGTAGAGGTATGAATGCTTGAGACAAATGGCCAGGGTATCGATCCCATTCTCCAGGATGGTAGAGAGCTTCTCGCGGACCTCAGATTCATCCAGGGGCTTGACGATCCGTAAAAGGTCCCCAGTGACGGCGCGCACCAACTTTCCGGATCCGTCGTCGAGACCAAATCGAGCATCATGCTCGAAGCCCTCGAAGACGACGCGCTCGGATATCTCGCAGACTTGGTCGTACAGCAGCTCTGGCTTGCGGATCCCCAGAGCAAACAAGCTCGGGCGTGTTTGGTAGCCGATGTCCAAGAGATCTCGGAATCCTTCGGATACTACAAAGGCATGCCGTGTACCTTTGCGTTCCAGAAGCGCTGCGGGCAGGGTCGCTGTCAGTCAAGTCAAGTCCAGGAGCGGGGGTGAGTAAAGAAGTAAGCTTTGGGGGAGGAATCTGGGGTGTGCGGACCGTTGGTCGCTACTGTTGTTCCCATGCGTATCGAGTAGATGAGTTCCTTGGGCAGTAGCTTTGATCGGGATAGACTCTCCCCCGTCGCTATTTCTAGAACACGGCGGATCCCTACACACGGAGGCAATGGTCAGTAGCCAAATCAAGTTGAAGTAGGAGACTGGGACGTAGAATGGATCAGGCCCTACCCTCGGAGGGCGCATCGTCATAGGTGTCTGGGTTCACAGAGAGGAGCTTCAGAACGACGTCTGGCCTCCCTGGAATCTTGGCCCAAACATCAGTAAAGGTGCCACCACGGTCGATGGCGATCTCGATGCTTTTGGGCTTCACAGACATGATTGCTACCTTTGGAGCAACGGTATTTGCCGTGGTGTTGATGTCTGCGCTGATGCTGGAGAGGAACCAAAGAGATGGAGTCTCTGGCACAACCTCACCTACTACTTTGTGAGAGGACGTGTTATATACGCCGGCTACCTGTGTGGCATTTATCGTCGCAAGGCCCGGTTATGCCAGCGCCGACAGTGTTAACCTTGGCATCGAGTCGATAAGCAGCCTACGGACTCCTTGCAGTATCGGTGCGGCTCTCGGAGCCTGGGGCCAGCGCGACAGAGGGCCATTCATCTTAGCTGATACGAAACTGCCTGGAGTTGTTGTATCGGTTAGGGAATACCCGGTTCGGACTTGCCCGATGACTGCGTGGAGGAAGCGTGGCCGGACGGTGATGATCGGGGAAATGCGACGCAGACACTCGACGCCTCCACCACCGATCATGTCTGGGATAAGCTGTTCCGGCCTCCAGTTCTAGTCCCATAGCACTATTTACAAAGGTCTTCCTCATCCATCGCCCCGTTCTCGTATCTTAACGACACCTCCTAAACCCGGGATTGCGGGGCCATGACTTGCTTCCTCATCATAAATGGTTGATGGCAACCAAATTTCCACACTAGGACCGTGGGGGGCTTCGAAAGGTCAGGGAATATTCAGGGAATATGGATGAAAGTCACTCATGAACTGACACGAGGTTGGGGAGTTGAGGATGTGATTCAGTGGTCCATCTTCAGATGCTTAGTTTTTCACTTGGAAGCAGTTAGTTTAACCAGCCGTTACCACGAATATCTAACAACACTCCTAGTCTTTAGCAATACTACTTAGTTCACAAGAATCAGAAGGACGAGTCTGCTCAATCTCACAATAATAAACCTCGAATTAACAATTTGGTCAACTTGGTTGTATATACCAGTAGCCTCTAACTCCAGGGTAGGTAGGTTGGGAGAAACGACCAGGAACATATCTTTACCCCTGCTTGCCCTGCTCCATCAAGCCAATCCAATTCATCCTAGAGATTGGTTCAATCAGGTGGGAGGGGGTGCTTAGATAGAATGGTGGGCACTGCCTACTAGAAGCCCATTTTCATTATCTATAAGTGACAAGTACAGAGATACATGAGATACGTACAACAAGATTTAAAGCCGCATATCCATAGTGACCCTAAAAGGCTCTGACTTGTACCTTACCAGGAAACAATTAACTTGATTTAATACTCTGTGGTGAAAAGAAGGTTAATCGTTAGTCTCCACTAAGAAAAGTATTGGCTATCTAGACTCTACTTGAGACTGCCCTGAGTTAACCTGGCTACAGCTAACAATTATCTCTAAGTCCTGTCTTCAAAGTATTGTAGAAGTACTATAATATCTCTGGGTACTTCACAAACAAGTTGAGAAGATACCATAGTGCGCAGTACCTTAGTTTTCTGGACATGCTTCCCAATTTTCAGGTACTTCTCCTTACCCCTCATTGGAAAGATGGATCTTGGAAGAGCCGATCTGGACTTTTTCGCTCAAATCCGATGCCTTCTGCCACCATCGGGTGAGCCCGAAATGCACCGAATAATCGCCTATCTTCACTTTCGTGCATGACTCTCCAACAACTCCCACCTCTTCTTGCCCCATGGGGCTATCATGGGTCTCCCCAGCCTGGCAAACAGCCATCACTTTGAGACATAAGTAATGAGCTCTTGCCGTCGATTCTAAGCGGGCCCATGAGATCTTGTCATCCGACTCCTATCGACTCTTCCTTTGACCTGGATGAAAAAAAGAACACTCGAGGGAAAATCCAACTGTAGATAGTCAACCAACCCTAGCCACCATGGCCTCCAACAACCCCAAACAACAGTTGGAGCAAGTAGAGCCCGCCATCGAGCGCCAGCTCACTGATGCAGATGGAAAAAACAACAAGGTCGTCCAGATTGGCCAGCTTCGGGTCATGGGGCTCAGCAGCGAGGATGAGGATTTCTATGTCAACTTTCCCGCCAAGGAGCGAGCCGCGCTCGTTCGCAAGGTACGCACCCCTGAGCCACACGTCAAGGGTGAAGAAAGCATTGAACTAACTTGAGCAAAACTCTAGATTGACTTGCGTTTAGCCCCGATGCTGGCCATTCTATATCTCCTCTCCAACCTGGACCGTACCAACATCGGAAATGCCAACATCGAGGGACTTTCGAAAGATCTTGCTTTGACCGGAGTCCAATACAACACTGCCCTCGGTATCCTGTTTGTCACATACATCATTTTCGGTGAGTGATTTTCTTCCAGTCTCTTCGATGTGCAGTGCTCTTGTACTCTGACGTCTCTAACATTCTTGCGAAGAGGTTCCGAGCAACATGATCCTGAAGCGATTCACAAAGCCTTCACAGTACATGGCCTTCATTGTCATTTCTTGGGGCCTGGTCCTGACTTTTACGGGTGTTGTTCAGAACTATGCAGGGCTCATCGTGTGCCGACTTTTGCTAGGTTTGTTTGAGTACGCCCCCCCTCCCCAATACGCTCTTTGATCGGGTACAACTGCTAACTCTTGATCACGCAGAGCCGGATTCTATCCCGCCGCCGTATACATTCTGACGCAATGGTACATGCCTCAAGAGCTAGCCACGCGTCTCTCCCACATGTATCTCACCAGTGCCGTTGCCTCAGCCTTCTCTGGACTGCTGGCTGCGGGCATTGCGGAGATGCACGGCATCGGCGGCTATGAAGGTTGGCGCTGGATCTTCATATTGGAGGGTCTCGGGACAGTGGTCCTGGGGTTGGCGACCTGGTTCTGGCTGGCCGACTCCCCCGCGCTGTCGAAGTGGCTCACGCACGAGGAGAAGAGATATCTCGAGGTGCAGCACTTTATAAAGGACGGAGGGCTGTTCAGCAGCCGACAGAGAAAAAGCGACTGGAAGGTCTTCCTATCCATCCTGACCGATTGGAAAATCTACGGCGTCTCTGCCTTGCTCTTCGTCAACATTGCAGCGGGCTACGGTACGTTAACGGGCCTCTGCTCTCTTCCTTTTTTCTTGTGGTAACATTTGTTTCTTGAATACCTGCTAACTCGGACATTTGCCGCCAGGTGTCAAACTCACCATGCCTGCCATCATCAAGGGCATGGGCTTCCAGAACCGCGCCGCCCAGCTCATGACCGCGCCGCCCTACGTCCTCGGCGCCATCTCCACCGTCGTATCCTCGAAGCTGTCGGACCGATTTTACAGACGCATGCCGTTCATCGTCATCCCGTGGACCATATTCATCATCGGCTACGCCATCATCATGAGCTACGGCGCCAACACGGCCAAGAACGTGGGGCCGTGCTACTTTGGCGTCTTCCTCATCTGCATCGGCCTCTTCCCGGTGAACCCGGCCATCACATCCTGGGCCGCCAACAACATCACGCCCGCGAGCAAGCGGGCCGTGGGCGTCGCCTTCTTCAACTGCGTCGGGAACATTGGCGGCATCCTGGGGAGCTTCATGTTCCTCGAGAAGGAGGCCCCCGCCTACCCGACGGGCTACGGCACCTCCATCGGCGTGCTGGCCGCCGGGATCCTCATTGCCATTGGTCTCGAAGCTGCCTTTATCATCGTCAATAAGAGGAGGGACCGGGTTCCAGAGGAGGAGGTGCGGGCCAAGTATTCAGAGCAGCAGTTATCCGACATGGGCGACAAGTCTCCGCTCTACCGCTACACCCTTTAAACCACTATAGAAACCCTTTCATGACGACTGCGGAGCTTAGCCGTCGTGATGGAAGTCCGCGAGTGCTAGGTGCAACCTGAACTGTCATACTGGGTTGAAGTAGCTTCCTGGACGTGCTAGTCAGTTGGGAAAGGCTGTATTTAAGCACGTACTGTACCTAGCCCTGGCATTTGAATGGTAAATTCCCCGGCTCCATGCATGTTATTCCATTAAGCGGAAACCTGGACAAGTTTCGTTGTTACGTACGTAATAGTCATTGCATTTCAACAGTTGTAGAAGCCAATTGGCCAACCAAAGGGGTTATGTACCAAGGCAGTAGCCGGAGTGTAACTACAGATTCATTTCTATAAAGGGATGTTAGAGTACTGGGTAGCCTGAGAACTGGAATGTAGTTAGTTTCAAGCTGGTAGTTTGGTATTGGCCTGAATTGTATCGTGATAATCAAGACACATCTAATATTCTATATTAACTACCTACTATAGGAGGCACTGTGCTAATATGGATACAGACCGCGCCCTACACAGCGAAAACTCAAAACATACTCCTTGCACTCCAAGCAACAAATTCAAAGATCCATGAACAACTTCGATTGCCTTGGGACTGCTTTTCTGGGATTTGCTTGGATCAATTTCCAATGTGTATGCTGCCTGTGGGTGCCTCCTTTACCATCAACGCCTGCCATTTTTTACGAGCAAGATAAAAGTTTAATATTCTTCATTGAATTTACCTAAAAATATACTGATCTATCCAAAAAGCAAGGTATAAAAGAGATATCAATAGATTAGTCATAGCCTAATAGCAACTCTTATTGCCAAGATATTTCGGGTCAAATATATACAAAAGCAACAGAAACACTAGATCTATTCCACATCAGCCGCTTTACAGAAGGCATCAAATCAGCGTGCCGGACCGTAGCCGCCGAGTAGCTGGCGAGGCAGCGTGAAATCTGCATCCAGTGGCCAGTTTGGACGAGCAGGCGGTTATCCACTGTCAGGCATAGATTCGCCAAACTGGAGGCTGCTCTCATCCAACTCTCTCCATGGTACCGTCCTATCATTGTCGTCTGGGAGAATCGGCCACCCCAATCCCTGGCACGCACCTTGGCCGACGACCCATAGATCCTCCGGCAGCAGTGAGTATATCCCCGCCATGAAGTCGTCTGGATGGTCTGGCTGCGGTGGGGGCCAAAAGCCGTCCGGCTGATGGGTGCCGGAGTCCGCGCCCACGGGCCACGTGGGAGCCCGGTTCTGGGGCGCGAACAACCTCCGTACTGTAGCAGCCACCATGGACTCGATGGCGTCACGGCACCCTGCTGCTTTTGGGTACCTCTCCGCCACCGCCGCAAGGCTAGAGGCACAGACCTGGCCGACATTGACAATCTTCTCGGAGGCAAGCGAGCTTCTCAGCTCGTTCGAGTTCCAGACCGAGTAGGTGAGCAGCAGGCCGGCCACGAAGAGGCGATGGGCCCAAACCCAGATCATGTCCAGATGGCCCTCCCTCAGCAGGGTCTGGGTGCACTCTATCAGCTTGGCGGACGCCTCGAAGCAAATGCGGAGGGACGCAGGGGATGGCTCGGGGACCCGAGGGGTCGGTCTGTGGAGCAGCAGCAGCGCGTGGCTGTAGGTTGCCCCCCACCAGCTTGAAGACGCATAGATGCTCGCCGGGTGCGCTTCCTGCGTCAGGGGGATATCGGCGTGCCACTGCTCGAGCCGGGGCTTGATGTCCTCCATCCACGTATGATAGTCGGGCTGCGGAAAGGCCACAGCGGCCGTCTGCTGCTGGCGGTAGAGGACGTGCTTAGTCTCGGCCTCGAGCCTGGCGAGGCGCACAATGTGGTTCGCCACACACTGGGCATGCCGCTCCTCGGGTGACGGATGCGCGGGAGGCGGTTCTGGGTAGCCAGCACCCAGGCTCTGCTCCTCGATGCCCAAGGGCCTGCCGACTGTGACGACGAGCAGCCTGTCGAAGTAGTAGGCTGCCCAGAAAAGCCGGCGCCGCTCATTGAGCTGTGCTTTCGTTACCCTCAGCGCAAGGTTCGTTTCCCAATGGAATCCTAGCTCAATGCAGGTCCGTAATGCAAGGCCTGACAGGGTCCAGAGATTGCCTTTGGAGGGCGATAGTGAGACGTACTGTGCCAGCAACAATATATCTGTGAGCGTCTTTGTATCGTTGGCAGCGGTGCCGACGGTCGAGTCGAGACACTGAACGGCCGAGTGGAAGAAGGACTCGCTTCGATCAGAGGCTCCCCTTCCGACTTGGCCCTTGAGCCCGCAGCAGCTGATGGCAAATATCATCAAGGTTACAAAGACATCTCTTCCCTTGCGTTGGGCCACCGTCGCGGCTTCGTTGTCATGGGCCAGGTAGGCATTGTGTACGCATGTGAGGATGTCTGCCCGCTCCATCAGAGGCAAATGTGGCGTTCGACATTGGAAGTAAACGTCGATGAGATAGGTGGCGGATTCTTTTGATGGCAGCGGCGGTGATGATCTGGGAAGAAGCACGTTCATGTTTGGTTCTTGCGAAGAACGTACTGACGGGGATGCAGGCATGTCGCACTCCAGTGATCCCAATATCGCCTTGGCCAAGGTCACTCCGCTGGAGGTTCCGATGAATCTCGGCTCGTCAGAGGGATCCAGAACGGCCAGCGCAAGTGACGTGTAGAGCTCAGAACTTGTCTCACGGTCGGAATGCGGAGTAGCCGACGATGCTTGCTCCGAGGAGGATGGCTCATTGTTCGGCACAGCACCAGGCCGCGAGCCAAGAAGCTGCACCTCGGCTTTCAGGCGCTCGACCTGGGCTTCCAAGCTCTCGACGTAGTCGCGGGGGATTTCGCGCTGCTTGCCCAAGTCATAACTTAGACACTCGGTCCCCGCCGCCTCGCAATTGGAGCATTGCGGGTATTTGAGATCGCACTGGAGCTCGAGTGTCAGCGCCAGTGGGAGTGTCCCGGCAGCCATTGAGTGTTTCTGTTTCACCTACATACCTTTTGCTTTCTCCTCCTACATCGCTGACAAGCAGAGGCGCTCCTGTTGAGACGCAAGGCTTGTCGGGGTGGGTTCAAAGGCATCACTCGTCGACCACCATATGTGGCACACCATGTGCCGCGTACGGGACCAGTCCTGGGTGGTATCTGCAGGATGACACCCCAAGGCAAAGCCGTAAAGGTTCATCATCCCGGCCCACAGTTCACCTGAAGCGTCACGTGCCGACGACCTCTACCAGCAAGGAACAAGTTATTAAACCCGGCCGCTAGCTACCCTAGGCCATCCGGAGTGATTGCAGGTGGAAGACCAATCCTAGCTGGCTATTTCTCTCTTTCCTTTTCAACTATCAAAAGTCTATCCTCTAGGCTAGGTGTATATGTACTCAATACTCAACTCGTCTGGTGTAACCCAACAAGAGAGGTGTACGTCTCGAATGCCGGCATGCTTTCCTCTGGTTCTATAACGGAGAGGAACTACAGAGGACAAGCCCGAGAGAATCGTTGCCCATACTGCAGAATTACTAGGCGATTTGCAAGGCGAATGGTTCGCTACATTTGTAGAAGGGAATCCTATCGGCTTGAAATTGGTTTAGCAATGCGTGATCTTTCTCGAGAAGGTCTTATACAACTATCCTTTTCTGGCAATCTTCAAATAGCACGATAAGAGTTCAGCCAAGCCGATGACGTTCATCTAAACCAACCGCTTACATGGTGGTATTCTGCGAGTTGATAAAAATGGACGAGCCTTGAGGCAAGTCCGACAATTCTCGGTTTTGTCTCAAGACGAAAATGTCAGCAATGTCTAGGATCGGAGCGTTCCATACATCCCACCCCCCCTCATTCTTTGCTGTACCGTTGGGCTGACTGTGCACTTTAGCACACAGCTACATGGAGGGCTTGAGATGGCGAATCTTTATGATCTCTAAAGTCCAGTGGCTGAGAGATTACAAAAACTAAAGGCCCAGTTATATCTCCAACATGGTTACGAATCAAGTCAGCAGACCAGCCGCGAAACTTGGTGTCGGAGTCAGAACATGAGACATTGGCGTGGCATAAGACATCCTATGATGCCTACCTGCTCTCGGTTGGAATTCGTATTGAAATGGCGGACAAATACCTCCCTATAAGGACAGTCTTGCCCTCTGCGGACTACCACTTCAGGCCGAACCCAAGCTTTCGATCCACTAAGTCGAGGCAAAATGAGAGGACTTTCCCTCCATTCCTGTGCAGTTTTTGCAATCTCTTTGCTCCCATTTGTTTCGACCGTTGGGCCTCGCGCAGTAGATGCCAAGCAAGTGATACTTGCTGATTTCGATGCAATCTACAACCTCACACAACAGGCCATCGACTTCCAGACGTATGGCTACGATCGCTTTCGCGCCAATGGGGTGAGTTGTTTGGAATAGGGTACTCGCGTAATAATTAACCACTTGTCTAGGACTGCGTCAAAACGCTCATTGATTTGGGAAAGAAAGTCGTGCAGATCAACAAGACCAAGCCCCCAGTCACGCCTCTCAATGACAACGACCAGAATCAAGTCTGCGATACCTTCAGTGGCCGGGTAAGCTGAGACAGACGGCTTCACATTACCTATCTGAAAATGCTAACGCTCTTCTCACTATGCCAGCGATACACCATTCACCAGGGCAGGCTGATGAATGCACTCCAAGATGGAATATTCCAGGGAACAAAGGCCAGCTTTGCCGGCTATTATGGTGCTCTGGTTCGAAGGTTTATTCCAATATTCTCGGAGTTCGAGGATTGGGTGATCAAGACTATTCCCAACTGCAAGGTCAGAGCTTTGACTGATAAACAAGTTCTTCTCATTTTTCGGGAGGACGCAGCGACCACTATTGAACTGAGTCGAGGCTACAGCAACGCGCAGGGAGATCAGATTCCCGATTTCGGTTGAGGTAGAGAAATTTAGAGAAGAGGTGCTTTGCCTCCCAATAAATGTTAGCTCAACGCTGACGCCTGCTAAGGTTTGGACACCTGATAGATACTACATTAAGGGTCTCATGTAATCTCAACTCGAAGAATGCCATCATATTCGCCACGGTATGTGGCGTGTTAAGCTCGAGTCTGAGAAGGTCTGCCTGGACGCAGTTGGGCAGTCCCAGGACCATCAGTTGGAGCTTGCACAATGTTTATCAATGTTATTATTATTGATCTCTTAGTAAAATTAGCCACAGTATTGGCATTAAGCTATATTCAGTAAACATTCAAAGGGCATATTATGGTGGTTCTATTAATATTGATTTCTCTAATAAATGAAATAGTTATACCTCTAGGTTTTATTATTGTAAAGGTAATATTGCTATATCGGATAATCGTTATAGACCAAGCAGGTTTACTTTATACGTGTATACGTAACATGTGTCACCTACCTTAGGCACCAAGATGAGAATTACGCGCTGACAAAGGCCACAAAAACACTCACCAAGAGACCAGAACCATCTGTGACTTGCCATACTCAACTATCATGGCCAACTTGTCTGGTGCCATGGACGACATCGCCAAAGTAGCTCGTGCCGGAGTCTACAGCACTTTCTGGCTCGGCCGATTTGCCAAGCGATACTACAATAGCGCTAAGAATGGCACATGTCTTCTTTGCAACAATCTCAAGCCGGATGGCCACGAGAACACCACCATCTGGACACCTGAGGGAGAAAATAAACCAACTACTAGCCTACCCGGAGGCGGGATCATCAAGTCACCAGCATCCGGCAGGGATATCCTCGCCCTGACCCTAAAGGATCTGTCCACTGCAAAATTGCTCCAGTGTCGGGATATTGACCCTAAGACTGGTGTTCCCGCGAGGGATTGCCCATACTGTCGGCTCCTCTGCGAGATATTTGATCACTTCTTCATCGACGAGTGGATGAGCTGGATCACAGAAACCCGGAATGCCATGCCGATTAGCTTCGGCTTGATGATTCGGCAAGGTGCTCCTCTTGTTGTCACAACTATCGGATTCGTCCATGACAAGTATTTGAAGAATGCCCGCGCAGATGTCGAGTTATATCTCGACTACTCTCTGCCTCCACAGGCCATACCAGCCCTTCCGACAATTGGCCCGGCCGGTATCAGGCAAACCGACACTCGATCTCTAGCCTGTATGTCCTTCATTAAAGACAGCGTTGAAGAATGTCGGCGGGAGCATCCACTTTGTCGCAACGAAGCTCAGGGCTTCAACCCCACGCGATTGCTCTATCTCAGCGACAAAGACCCTCATCTACGTCTCTGCGACACCGCTGGATGGGAGCAGCCTGTTCCCTATGCGGCCTTTAGTCACTGCTGGGGTGGAAGTGATCCGGTAAAGCTGACGCCCGCTACCTTGGAAGGATTCAAAAAGGGCATGGACATTTCTATATTGCCAAACACATTCAAAGATGCAATATCTGTGGCACAAGAGTTGAACATTACCTTCGTCTGGATCGACTCTCTCTGCATCATTCAAGGCGACGAAGCGGACTGGGAGATAGAGGCAGCTCGTATGGAACAGGTCTACAGCAGCGCATACGTCGTCATCACCGCCGCCTCTTCCCCAAACCCAGAGACGGCTATTCTGGCACCCAGAGAAGCTGAGTGGCTTCCCAAAACATTTGACTTGCCGATCACTCCTGATGTCAACTTCCCCATCGTTGCGCGAAAACGCCACATCCTGGCGGCCCCTATGGAGCAAGGACAATGCGAGCCACCATTTGCCAATACGGGGACAGACCTCAAACGCATTGGGCCTCTCTACAATCGCGGATGGTGCTTCCAGGAAGCTTATCTCGCATACCGCAATCTTCAATTCACCCCCGGCGCGATTGTATTTGAGTGCAAGACTCACCGCAAGAGCGAGGACCAACTCCCGCCCTATCCTTCCACCATCCCAAGTCCTCAAGAGTCTGTGGACCCTACCGAGCAGTGGCACAGGATCGTAAAGTCTTTTACCTCGCGCCAGTTGACCTTTGGCGGAGACAAGCTGCCCGCCATAGGGGGAGCAGCTAGAACCATGCCCCAGGCGCAAACGACGCAGTACGTAGCAGGCCTGTGGCATTCCACACTTCTGTTTGATCTGATGTGGCATGTGATGTCATACATGGTGTTAGCCGGCCAGGATTATCAGGCGCTTTCCTACGACGATCACGACGGAGGTCCGCCCACGTGGTCCTGGGCCTCCATGAATTGGGGTGTGGTTTGGTCGCAGTTCCCCAGAACACAACTAGTAGCCGAGCTATTGGACGTCCGGACCACCGGCAGTCATCTGGATCCGTATGGCAAGGTATCAGGCGGTCTACTCACACTGCGCGGCCGGTTGAAACGGTGCGAGTTGAGGTCAGACGGCGCCCTCACACACGATGCCTTCTACATACAGTCTGACGGCACAAGGAGCGAACTGCAGCATTACCGTACCGATGGGCCATTGTCATTTGAACATGAAGCTGGTCCATACGGCGCCCGGGTGAGAAGGGGTCGTCAGGGACCGTACTCGAGCAACTTGGAGACTACGGCGGTTGTTTTCTTCATAGCTAGCAACACGCTCTTGGGAAGTGGTATATGGAAGCAATATCTAGGTCTAGTATTGGGCACTTCACCACGCTCACCTGGTTGCTTGGAGCGTGTTGGTTTGATTTGGAGGCTGCCGACGCATTGGTACAATACTGCTGAGGAGGGTACAGTTCAAATAGTTTAAGATGGGGGTTTTAGTATGTGAATTTATAATGATAATACCTAAGAGAAAGAGAATAAAGTTCAACAGCAATGGAAGCTGCCAGAGCCCGACAACTCAACACAATGAATTATAATGATAATAAAACTGGGAGAGAAAATAGAAGATGTCCTATCGATGCGCACAGGTGATGAGAGTCTGGCAAAGAACGGACTTCCTCATAGATCACATCAAAGATTCAGATACTCAGATAGGAGCTACAAGCTGGCAAAGGACAGATCTAGGGCTTTCACGATACTTGTTAGTCTACCATTGCCTTAAAGTGACAGGGTCGCCTTCTAAAATCTTCCAACCCGCACTCCTAAGATACTGGCGAGTATGGCCAGATCACGCCCTCAATCAGACATCTATCGGCGAAAGGCTAATATTACTAGAGCTAATAAGAACCGAAAAAGTCCAGCAAACGCCTCATCCTCCATGCTAGCCACCATACTCAACCCCGTCATCAGCGACGTATCTTTACCATCCTACGGTTCCCGAGGAAGTCTACCGCTCAAAGGAAGAGTACCCTTGCCCAGCATCCATCTACAACTTTGTCGTCATGGTGAGTTTTAGAACAAGAGATGGCACAAATACGCATGTGGAGATGCCCAAATGCTCCTTCTCTTGCGGCTCGCGATCAAGGTTTAGTTGGATATTGGCGGGAAGACAGTGGGTTTCCTAACCGTGGCCGTTTGAAGAAGCAATAGGTAGATGCCAAGGTCATATTCGAGGCGAGAATCACCCGTAGCATCGCTGATCAGCTGCTCTATATCATCTCGAGCTTTGTGCGAATGGGCTCGGTTCCTTGTCTCTTATCAAGGCTGGCATTGCTTGCTAACGAGTTGAAGATCTTTGTTGCTGAAATGGCCCTGAACTACAATTTTGCGTAAGTCGGCTCGATATTGGAATGCTCCAACGGCCTTCGTTAGGGTTTGTGATTAAGCAACCAAAGCTAATGACATATGGACGGCGTCTGCACCTCCTCTTTCCAAGGGCAGAGAATGCTAATGTGATGGAATCCAAAGCACAACCCTGGTCTATCCTCTCGCAGACTTTGTCGAGCATCCGATTACTGACTCTGCATCAATTTGGAGCGAAAGATATGTCTAAACTTTGCATATCATTATGCCTGGATAATGGATACATGACCTTTTCCAAGCTTCTGTCCGCTGGGAACTTGCTCTGCCATTTCTTCTTCCAATCCGGCACGAGAGCAGAACACCGAGCGTCTTCATGTATTAACTCTCCTCTCCTTCCCAACTGTTGCACATTTGCAGAGTAAGGCTGACCAGTCTACTCTTGCCTCTTTCCTCATCGTCCTAATCTGCATATATTAGTCTGTAATTACGTGAGATTTGCAACTGATCAGCAACGCCATAGCCTCATAACGTGCGCCAAGCCAATATTCCCTTTCAGCCTCCGTGGCCCCCTCCTCAATGTGCCGTTTCGAACAAGGCTATGGGTCACATTTCAGCTCCTAAATATCCAATATTTCAGCCAACATGCAAATTGAATCACTTTAGCTCCCATGATAGCACAACTCAGCTGCTGCAGAAGAGCGGAGTGCTTACGGCCAACGACCAATTGCTATGCAATGGTTGAAGTAACAGCAAGGGAACTGTCATCAATTCATATTTTCACCGCTTTTGCTGATCTTACCACCCACGAAGTTGGCGTTCGAAAAAGATTTCGTTTATTCCCCCCGAACTCCTTGGGAATTTGTAGACAGTTTAGGTTCTGGACTTCTCCATGATTTTATCACTTGTCATTCAATCGTTAACTTCTTCTCCATTTTGAACATCATGCTGTCAGACACAACCTCCAGTAGAGTCGCCTCCGATGCAATGGAAACAGAGACCGCATTTGCGACTCCAGCGCCTCTGCGCATAGACGCGACGGAGACTGAAGCAAATGATGTTGCTGAGACTATTGATTCTGCCGAGCCCTCTGGTCCCAGCACGAGCGACGGTAGCTTTGCCGTGGAACGTGGCACATCTCTTCATAATATCCTTTTGGGGATGGAAGAAGGCAGTTCTGATGATGTCCAAAACCGGGAACTTGGAGAGACTCTAACTCGCTTGAATGAGCAAGAACTCAATCAACCAGACGGAGACGAACAGACTCCTCTACACATTGCTGTAAGCCGCGGCCTACTGGGAGCAACCAAAAGCTTGCTAGCCCGGGGTGTAGAAAATTCAATAAAGCACAAAGACCGTACGGAACGCCAGCCCTTGCATTACGCTTGCATGTCGGGGCACAAAGAGATTGTGAACCTGCTGTTGGGTTTCGGTGCAGATTTAGAGGCCCAGCAAGGTGACGGACGCACACCACTGGGCGAAGCATGCTATTGGGAACACCTTGATGTGATGAACGAACTGCTCTCACATGGGGCCAAAGTGAACGTAATGGACAACGGTAATCGGTCACTTTTAACGTTGGCAGTTATAGACCGCAACATCGACATAGTTCAACGCCTTTTATTAGAGGAACACTTGGACTTGAATAATCGCGAAAATGCCAATGGCTGGACTGCACTGCATAGGGCCGCATTTTGGGGCGCGGAGGAAATTGTCGATCTGTTGTTGAAGAGGGGAGCAAGCACCAGTATCCAGGACAATGATGGCTGGACACCATTATACGCTGCTACTTACGGTGAGGAAGCGACAATCATGAAGAAGTTTCTTTACAACCATAAAGGAGACAAGATGAATCCCAAGGAGTTAGAGACACCTAGCGAGGAAGGATATACCCCCCTTCTTGCGGCAATTGAGCGCAGGTGTGCAAACATTGTGAGCCTTCTCCTTGAAGCCGGAGCGAACTGCAATGCGGAAGATAATCAAGGTAGACGGGCCTTGCACCATGCAACTGCTGAAGGAGATGAATCCATTGTCCTATTACTTATTAAGGGTGGAGCAGACTTCAATGCCCAGGATAAACAAGGTCGCCGTGCTTTACACTATGCAACTACTAAGGGACATGATTCTATTGCCTTCCTACTTATAAGGAGTGGAGCAGACTGCAATGCCCAGGATAAACAAGGTCGCCGGGCTTTACACTATGCAGCTGCTGAAGGATATGACTCTATTGCCTCATTACTTATCGAAGGTGGAGCAGACCACAATGCGCAGGATGAAGAAGGTCGCCGGGCTTTGCATGATGCAAGTGCTCAAGGAAACGCTACTATTGTCAGTCTGCTTCTGAATTATAAAGCAGACTGCAATGCCGAGGATAATGAAGGACGCCGAGCTTTGCATGATGCGAGTACTCAAGGACAGAGTGCCATTGTTACATTACTGTTTAAAAATGGAGCAATGGTGAACCCAAGAGACAAAGACCGCAAGACCCCTCTTCAACTCGCGTTCAAGGCCGACCAAAAGCATGAGTGGGATGAGCGAGATGGAGTGATGAGAAGTTTTCTCAAAGACAATAATCTTAACACAACAGCCCTTGGAATAGATGAAGTGAAAGAGGATGTTCTAGTATGGGCCGCCAAAAGTTTCAACAGGCACGACATTGCCGTGTTACTTATGAAGAAGAGCCCAGGACTTGTTGAGCCGTCAAACTCTAGCCAATGGAGCGCAATTGAATGGGCAACTTATAGAAATTTACCGCAAATTCTGTGGTTGCTTCTTGCGAACTCCCCTCAAACGAATGATTCCAAGAGGATGGTTAAATCAGCTTCAGAGTTTATAAACAAACCCAGACGGGTGCTTAAGTTGAAAGAAATCCAGAAGCAGCGAGCTGTAATGGATAAAGGCGACATGGAGGTTCCACTCGAAGACAGAATGACTGCCGGACCTCTTGATAGTAAAAGGGCTGAACTTGTTGCAGACATTTTGCAGGACCCTCCATTTGCACAGTATACCGACAACGAACAGATCAAAATACGTGAAATCAGCCACTCTCAATCCAACGTTTCGGGTGAATTCGATGCTGCAGTAATGCAGATTTATAGAGAAAACGGAAAGTCGATTGTCATCCGTGAGCCTAGGGTGGTGAAGGATGTAATATATGGCAATGGCCCGGTGAAGATTATGGAGGATAAAATGAAGAGACTCAGGGAGCTGAAAAGATTCATCCAAAGCATGTACACGAATAAAGACGATGAGAAAATTCTTCAGATGGCAGATATTACTTCTGAGCCTAGGTTCACATGGATTCACTTACCATCAGCAAATGTGAGTCTTCTTCCTCCAGAGGGTGCCCACGAGCTAACTGGATATAGATGGATTGGATGGATGTGAGCAGTCGCATATTCGTGGTTTCAAGGCGTGCAGATAAACTGACAATTGTGTAGGACTTATTAGCCAGGATCATGAAAGACCATGATTGCGATCCGACCGAATATCGTAGCGTTCGCGGTTTCTTGAAAGACAGTTGGGTCGAGGTTCCGGATCGAGAGTCTTCTTCACGGATGATGAGACCTCGTTTCATAGAGAGAGACCCGGGCAATGCCAGTGAAAACACGACTGAGGGGAATGCAACATCAAAAGCTGAGGCTGGAAGCATGAATGAAAACAGCGAACACGATGCGGATATTGTCACAAAAGGAAAGCATCAGAAGGCATTCGAGGAGGATGCGAATAGCGATTTTGTGGCCGCATCGGCTACCTATGTGAGTACTTGATATACTTGCTCTGGTTTGAACTACCCACCTGATTGATTAAAGATGCCCTACCTTCTGTTCTCAACCCAGTGCAGACAGGGCAATGGCAATAATGATCACACAGCGAAAACAGCCTGTGTGAATTGCAAGGACAGTCAAGAGAAATGCGATTCTTTGTTGGGGGCGCACCCCAATTCCGCTGTACACACCTCCCCTACACTCGATGAGTGGTATTATGGCTTTACTCAGGGTGACGAGTTTTCCAAAGACAAAAATTATCGTAACGAGAACCAAGTTGCCACTAGGGAGTTGGTTGGTGATGTTAACGAGCTCGCACACTGGCCATTGCTTCGTGTTAATCAACTATGGATATGGACTCTCGACAATAGTAAGTGTCACACCTAGTTCCGCAAACTTGAGACTGATGAAAGAGCAGAGTGGATTATCACAGCTGCACCAGATCCAATGGATAGTAACAGTCACACCTTCCTAGATGGGGTTCTCGAACGTCTCAAAAAGCTAGGGCAGGCCGGAGAAAGTAGCTCTCAGCCTGAATCAACATCTGATATGAGACAACTACTTGTGGACTACTGCATTGAGTCTTACGAGAGAAAGTCCGCGGAAAACGAATTTTCTCATTTCCAGGACCAGAAAATTCTCAAGATTCAAAGAGCATCAATTCGTCAACTCTTCTCTAACTCAATTAAAAAGCTGGTTGGTAGACGTCCCTCTTGATGAAAAATTAATTTCTCACTGGTTTTAGGGACGAGATGAGACTATATTGTTCAAGCAATTGACTAAACAGCCAAGTGTGTCAAAAGATGCAGGAAAGCCAAGAAACACGATTGTGAAGCATTTACTGAACGCGACTTTCGGCGGAGTTGAGATCAGGAAAGCAATCAAACAGGCCGAAAAACTTTCCTGTGACGTCAAAGATATCCGAGACGAGCTCAACATTCTCAAATCAGTCGCCATATATCAAAGAGATGTCCAGGACAGGCTAAGTGCCGTACTCAAGAAGGAAGTTCGATCGAATCTTACAGCCAAATATGTCGAAGGCGACATCAATGGAATGGATAAGGTTGCAGAAAGAATTCAGTCTGCGGTGCGGCTCTCTTTGATCGCAGGTCCCCATCAATGATCGCTGACAAGACGAATGATAGGTCGATACCACTCTGGCTCTTCAGCAAGGGCAGGAGACTGTGAGGCAAGGACGTACTTTGATGGTCTTCACTGTGGTGACGATTATATTTGTGAGGGAGGGAATACACTTATTTGTGATAGTTAGGCTGACTCCTCTAACAGCTACCACTTTCATTTCTCTCTTCACTTTTTGCACTGGATGTGGCGTCCTTCCAGGAAACCCCCGGTTGGGCATTTGCAATTATCTGTGGGTATCAGCTGGCAATTTTGAGCTCGCAAAGTTATCATAACTAACTGTGATTGGGGCAGTTTCCGTCTCATTTGCCTGCGTTATACCACTAGCCACTTATGCCATGTTCTCGGATGACTTCACCGATTTGTTGTCGAAGATTCGAGAGACGTTCAAGGGCGCGAAGGAGAAATCGATCAAGGACGTTGGTTTGGCCGTCATCAGAAAATTGACGGCACTAGCCACCTTTGTATGGAACCATGTCTCATTCAAGTGGAGGACAGACCGATCAGGTGTACGAGCTAGGACGCACGGGGAGGTTTGAGCGTAGGCTGGACTGAGAAGCAGACCATTAAATCTGCCTCGTATACAGGGATCCGAACCAGTGAACGATGTCCATCACGAAGATGCTTATGCTGCACCACCTTGCGGCAGCGTGAATATCCTCTTTCGCGGATCAGGAAGTTACCGCTAGTGATTCGACTAGAAACCATGCCGGCAAGCTTCATGTGCTGTAGAACGCTTCAAGGAGTCTTGGCCGGAATTTTTTCTCAATCCTGATGTACTACTATCATGCTCTGAAAGTGATCCTTTCCTAAGCTCACAAAGATAGGAGCGAATAATATATTCCTGCGATCATGTGTAGCTAGACCTTGCACCTCGTCGTTGAACCTCTCTATCATGGCATACGAGCTGGCTCCGGATCAACATCTATTGCTAACATCTATCTACTTCGCTTTATACATATTTGGAGAGAAATTAAGATCAACCTCCGAGTGGTCCAGATGGGCTATTTCATATAGGTGGACATACTTGTGGGATGGTTGCTCTATAAATGATGGGAAGTAGTGAAGGAACAGCGAATTTAAAGCCAGTTTAGAGATATGGTGCGGACGTTGGCCAAGTTGCGACGCTGCGCGCTTGGTGTGAGCGCCGCGAGAATGGGGGCGAGATCAACAGAGGAGGGCGTCGTAGATAGAGCGGCCACCCGAGGAGCATTTTGTTCGAGTGTAATCTCGCCGAAGCAATATAAGCCACGGGCACGTAGAACCACGCCTGAGATGGCGTTAGCAACCGCACGGCAAAACTCAACAAGGCACTCAACAAGGTAGTGTTATCTTACAGGAAGATGACTTACTACGGTCCGGCATACTGACCCTGGCCCGAGGCCTAGACAGCGGTTGGGGCCCTATAATTTGCAATTTTTGCTTCATCATCTTCGGTTATAATTGCCGCCGGAGGGCCGTTTTCTTCATCAACGCTCGATGATAGTTTATCGCTGTGAGCATCTGCAATATCAAATTCTTTGACAGCAAGCCAGGTTGGATAGACGGAAAGGCCTGCAGTTTATTGTTAGCTTTCTCTTTTCTCAAGTAAAATAAATTCGAAATTCGATTTGGCGCACCCAGAAGAATCGTGTTCACGGCTAGAGGGACTCGTCCGCCTTTCCACTCCTGTGAGTTGAGCCCATAGCTCACAGCTTGCGCAAAGCTCTCCTGACCTCGCAGAATACCGGAAAATCGACTCAACTCAGAGATGTTATCCGTCTTCAGTGCTAGAAAGTAATAGAGCCAATTCTGGAGGGCTTGACGTGCAAAGTCCCACAGGAGGAGCACAAAGAAACCTTCGACGAACCCGGCATCCTCCCAGTCCCAGGCAGGTTGCGTCCTCGTGTATTTTTCCTGAATGACCCATCCGTAGACCCAGGCGATGACGTGCCACATTACCACGTAATAGAATGCATATGTGACACGCTTCTTAACAGTCACTCGTTTGTAGTCGAGCCATGTGCTGATCAGTTGTGAAGAAAGGAGAGTGCCAAAGTTGCTCACAAATCCGATAAGAGCTCGGGCGCGAACACCGAAATAGTAGGTCTGGAAGTTTCCAGAATACTGGTTAAAGTAGGCTGCCCAGAATATTGGAAGCAGAAGCAGAATGTCTCTCCTGTTGCTCGCGCTCCAGAGTGCTTTGAATTCGGCCTTGAAGCTGCTCTCTGCTTTGATTATGATCTTGGACCCATCTGCTCGTTGGACCTTTTCAGGCGGCGAGAGAAGGAGGGCTACCGGAGCGGCAATACACTGGAGGGCGACGAATACAAGGTAGGTAGTGGCATCAACCTTTCCCTTCTTCTTGGCGTGTACGTCGTGGTTGAGGGCAAGCACAATAGCGCCTCCCACCAGCGGTCCGCCAGTGCGAAACCACAGCCAGATGTTCATATATCGCCCTCGCTTCGACGGCTCAGGATAGCCCAGGGCGACGGCTCCCTCGCTCGCCCAGAACAGTCCGGCCGATATGCCACAGGTGACAGCACCAACGAGGACGAGCCATTCATTCCCATATCGATTGTTGGCATAGAGTCCGGCAGAGTAAACCGGGTAGCCGATCGCGCCCAGGAACAGAGTCCAGGCCAGTCCGATCCGATTGGCGATCGGGCCACCAAAGAGGCAGAGAAAGCCCATGAGCCCAAAGACCAAGGAATTGGCGGCATTGACAAGGTATGGGGATTGCGCTCCTCCTGCGCCCAGAGAGCTCATCGCGTTCCAGAGACCCGGCGCGAGGAACCCCACGGCGCCTATCACGAAGGCGTTGAACAGGGTCGTTCGATACCAGGTTCTCTTCTGTGGGAGCGAAAGGCTGCTTGCGTCGTTGGACAACACACCAGCGGCATCTTCTCTGTCGTTGCTGGCCATTGTTGATGTTTCTCTTTCAATTCATTCAAGATCGTCAAGGGGCGAGCGATAGTCTACCACAACACAAGTTGGTTTAGAGTGGAAAGGCAACAGTGCCATGTCACAATCGAGGGCTTTATTCCGGCCTTTTCTACAGAATGCAATCGCGAATTACCAGTGCCGTCTTGAGGCCATTTCTTGGCAAGATGGCACCATCGCCGAGTGCAAAGATCCCCTGCAAATTATGGACCAAACGGCATTAATTCCAAATTGAACACGTGCGATTTGTGCTTTGAAGGCACAACATGGTGTTGTAAGGTAGCATTGACGGCAAGATAATGCCGATCACTAACCTTTTAGTCGACATTAAGAGAATGAAGCTCACGAGAGACGGGAGTTCCAACCATTGGCTCGCTAACAGGAGAGATGTGTTCAGCCACAACATCCTTCCACCTAGGACACTGCTCTACCTGTTTCCTGACTTTGCGATCCAAAATGCGCGTACTTTATCGCCTGAACTACTAAGAGTGCTATGATGGTTATTCTTCGAACTGCCAAGGGACGTCTGTCACATCTGTAATCTTATTAATACTCTTGTAGGTATTAGATGGGCTGCATGTCCGGCTCTCATGAGTAAAAGCAATCATATGCTCCGAAAAATTCTTCTAAAGTCCTTCCTCAATTTTCAATACAGGTATGTCTCTCTTGGGCTATCTCTATCGTAACTTATCGAGCAGATATATCTTGTTAGGTGTGCTCCTGCTCCATAAGGAGAATTCCATCTGTACTGATCCCATACGCCCTGCTCAACCGTCTTCCGTAGCGCCTTGCCCTCCAGTATGGCAGTTTCCCGCTCGGATGTTGTTCGTGAAAGTCGATTGCATTCTCGACGCCAAGCAGTGCCTCGTCCCTGGGCGTAGATCGCCGCATTGAAACGTATAGCTTCTGCTGCTCAAAGCCCGCGCCACGCGTTGCATAAAGGAAATCATGCTAGTTTACCTTGCCTAGAATCTCAGTTGGCTAGCTGGTTGGATGTATAATATACAAACAGTATGTGCGTTGTGGTTAACTATATGGCTTTGGAAAGGGGATTTCATGTTACCTCTTGTATATACTGTTAAATAAAGAGATGTAATGTAGAGAGGCTTAAAATAATATCAGAAGTAGATGCTGTTATTGTTCTACTATTCTGTCGAGACGGAAATACTATCAGAGGGGAAAGCTGCTAGAATGGACAACTGTTGTTGGAGCTGTTGTTGGAGCCGCTTTTGAAGTAATTATCGTGCCTTCCTTCAATAACGTGACGTCCTTCTAAGGCCGGGTCTTAAAAGCCCTGCCCAAGGCAGTAAAAATCTGCTTCTTTTGCCTTGCTCTCATTTACCCTAACCCTTATAAACACGATCACCAGCTACAGCCTTGGGCTACCCCAAGCAGGTAAGTCAGATCCCATCCGCCGTGATGACGACAAATACGATCAAATGTGGCTGCCAGCTGGTAAGTCAGACCTATAGTTAGTTTACTGGCAATATTCAAATAGCTCTGTAATGTGAGTGACCGTATTTCGCCGTAAACCAGAGCTATACAAAGCCAGAAGTACCTTTTTTTTAATGTATATATATATATCTTTTTAATGTAGCCGCTGACAGCTTGTGCAGCCTGCATGTGAGGTTACACCCGAGTGAATGCATGTCGACTGAACATGGTGTAGGTGCAGCTGTCTGGTTAGGATTTCCACGCGCTGTCCACTTCGCTGTCCACGACGCGCACGGCCTCCACCTGCGTTGGTGCATAAGAACATAAGTATGCACGTTATTGGGTGCGGTCAGTCAGGTGACCGATTCACTGCATAAAGATGGAGCAACTGGATACTACCTAATGGACGTTCACCCTTGCCAACATAAGCAAAGGAAGTGAATGAAGCGCTGACCTCGGCAAACTAAGCACCTTCCTGCTCACCTCGAAAGTTCCATCGAAAAGAATCAAGTCTTAGAAAACACTCGAGATTACATAGTTGCCTCGCCTTTGATATCTAAGCAAATCGCTGGTCAGGCGATACTGACACGACTGATGGCACATTTATCCTCATCCAGTTGACAAGCAGGCGAGAGCTACAAGGAAGAGCTAGATGATGCCTATGAAATCTACCGGCTCGGGTCTCTTTGCGCCACAAAGTACAGAAGAACTAAGACGGCATCAGACCTACAAAGAGCCATCCAGCACTTTAAAGACGCGTTATACCGGATGCCAACAGACCATCCTCGACGGTCGATCGTGCTTGAAGACTTAGGTTCTAGTTATAGTGTCCTGTTTCGAATAACAAGAGCACTAGATTATCTGGAGAAGGCGTCGCAGCTCAGCCAAGAGGTCGTCGACCACACCCCGCAGAACCATCCTGAGCGAGTTCCTCGGCTATTGGACGCTGGAATCGATCACATGGATATATATAGCAACAATGGCGACTCTACGCACTTAGAACTAGCCCTTGGGAGTTTTTCCAAGGCACTCGATGCTGCAAAGGAGAATCATCCACGCCTCCACACCTGCAATTCAAGTCTAGCAATTGCATTCAGATACCGATTCTTCAAGGACGGCAATATGTTAGATCTAGACGCGGCTATCCAACATTTCGAGCAGGCGATTCACTTGGTCACCACCGACCACCACAAACGAGTACGCTGGCTTCAAGATGTTGGCGCGTGCTATGGGGAGCGGTTTCGGAAAACACAAGATATTGCAGATTTCTCCCGAGCAATTGAAAGAGTTGAAGAGTCCCTCGAAACAGCAGACGACTTGCTCTCTCGTGCACGTGGCTATAGCATTCTCGGATCAAGCTATGGACTGAAGTCTAAACAAACTGGTGCCATGCAGGACCTCGACCTATCCATTCAAATGAGCCACCGTGCACTAGCGATAACACCGCGCGACTCCCCGGATAGAACGCGTCGTCTACACATTCTTGGTGCATGTTACGGTACCAAATATGATAGACTTGGGATACCAAAGGATTTGGATATTTGCATAGAGAGATATCGAGAGGCGTTAGACGACAGCCCGCATGACAGTTCTGATCGTGGACTACGGCTTTGTAGTTTAGGGGGTGCATATCTGGATAGATATCAAAGGTTCAAGGCTTGGGAAGATCTGTCTGATGCCATTGATGGATTAGAGGAGGCTATTCAGGTTGCTGTTACTCCAAGCGACCATCCGGATCGCGCTCGTCGCATCCACAGTCTGGGAATCGCATTTCAAGAGCTATATCTTGGAACAGGAAAGACAACAGATTTTGTTATTGCTGTTCAGTATCTGAAAGATGCTCTCAACCTAACACCAGCCGATGATTGCGACCGGCCCGCTCGCTTTGATACCCTGGGAAGCATTCATCATCACCACTATAAAATAAGTGGTGAGACAGCAGACCTTCTCAAAGCTAGAGACTATTACCACGAGGCGCTTCAAATTACACCAGCAGACCATCCTGATGAGAAACACAGGCTTGGAGGCGTCGCTACTTGTCATCATGACTTATTTCTAAGTGCCGGGTCGTTAGCAGACATAGACTTAGCCATTGACAGATATCGAAAGGCGCTTGAGTTGACGCCAAGAGACAGCCCCATGGGCTGGTTTCGACTTCACAATCTCGGGATGGCATACAGAGACAGATATAGGAAGAATAAGGACGCGGAAGACCTGGAGGCGGCAATCCAACACTACCAAGCAGGGCTTGACCACCCAACAGCCTTTGCAGCAGACCGTTTAAAGTCTGGCCAGGATCTGCTCATTATCTACGCCGATACCGACAGTTGGACGTCTGGATGTGAAATTGCCTGGAAAACCTTGTCTCTGGTCCCACTAATTACGCCTGATGCCTTGAGAAATTCAGACAAGCAGGCTTTACTTGTGAGTATTGTTGGCTTGTCATCTATAGCCGCGAGTGTTGCCTTGATGGCGAACAAATCTGTCTTTGACACAATCTCGCTTCTGGAGCTTGGCCGTGGGATCATTATTGGCTCTTTGCACGATATGCAGACTGATGTCTTAGACTTGCGCCAAGGTCATTCCAATTTGGCGGAAGAATATATCAAGCTTCAAGAGAAGCTTCATGGCTCAAGCGCTTTGACAAGCTTCGACGAGCGCTATAAGGCAGGTCAGCAATATGAAATATTGCTTCAGAAAATTAGAGACTTGCCCGGTTTCAGCGAGTTTCTCCTGTTCCCAGCACACGATGACATCAAAGCCGCCGCTGCTTCTGGTCCCATTGTAATAATCAATGTTAGCACTTACAGGTGCGATGCTTTGCTCATTGAGCGTCACCAGCTAAGCACGTTGCCTCTCCCAGACTTATGTCCAGAAGACATCAGTGTTCGTGCAACTACCCTTGCATCCCTCTCTACGGATACACTAGAGTGGCTTTGGGATACTGTTACTCGGCCAGTGCTAGAGGCGCTGAGACTTGATCAAGCACCCGGGGACAGTTGGCCTCGCATATGGTGGATTCCTACGGGGCCACTTACAAGCTTTCCTCTTCATGCGGCGGGCAACTATAATGATGGCATATTCGACACAGTCCTCGAACATGTGATTTCGTCATACAGCAGCTCTCTCAAGGAGATAATAAATAGTCGACGAAGGAATAAGAATCGCGATGTACGTATTAGTCCCAAAAAGGTGGTTTTAGTTGGCATGGAAGAAACGCCGGGCCAAAGCCGTCTCGAATTTGCGTCGCAAGAAGTCGAACAAATCGCAAAGCTTTGCAACTTTTCTCAGTTCCATGTCAGCAGGCCCGAGAACCGACGAGAGGATGTCTTGGCTCAAGTCAATGGCTGTGACATTTTCCACTTTGCTGGCCATGGGATGAGTAACTTGTCCAACCCACTGAAAAGCTCTCTGCTCCTTTGCGACGGGCCACTGACGGTGTCGAGGCTTCTTGAAACCGACCTGCGGATCCAAAGACCGTTCTTGGCATATCTTTCCGCTTGTGGTACCGGCCAGGTGAAGCAGAGGCGGCTTGAAGACGAAGGAATTCACCTGATGAGCGCCTGTCAGGTCGCCGGCTTCCAACATGCCATCGGCAGTTTATGGGAGGTCAACGACGAGTCTTGCGTACACATAGCCATGGCAACATATGAGTGGATCCTCGAGCATAATCTGAGCAATGATTCTGTCTCCGAGGGACTTCATCATGCATGCAGGAAGCTACGGCATGAATGGATGTCGAAAAACTCACTTGAAGACGAAAAGTCTCGTGAACCAGGCGTGAAAATTGGGGACAAAGACCCATATTCTGATCAAGATGTCATCCCAAGCTTAAACCGGCCAAAAGACGCAAGGGATATCTTGTATTGCGGCCATTCGCCGCTTCTCTGGGTTCCTTATGTCCATTACGGAGTCTGAGTGTGATGGTAGTAGTTAGTTGATTTGCGAGGTTTCTTCTTTATGCAGGGAGTCACACAACAGTGCGGGAAGATTTGAGGGGAAAATGATGTCTTGAAGATATCCTCTTGCACGCTTCGGTATCGTAACAGACAATAGAGTATGTAATAAGTTTAAACTACTCTCTAATCGATCTCAACGCCCCATCAAATCCATCGTTCAGATGACCTCCAGTCTCAGCAATCAGCCAGGGGCACAGCCAGCTAGCATTACCATAATAGCATCGCAATTATACTCCTCTCCTCAAGGATCAATGAGCAGCGTCAAAGAATTTGCCATGCTAAACTGGAAGTTCTGTTAAATGGTAATGGCCAGCGGCAGACTCTGGAATTCATCTATCCTTCCCATGCTGAGAGCCGTAGCCATGCAGTCATGCTTTGGGTGTTTTGGTATTTTCGCTGAAGTCATTGCTAGGCTTGTCCAAGTAATAAGTTCGCCTAGACAACCCGTAAGAGCGGGGGTGAGTCTTGCACATCTAGAAATATATTCCCTAATTAATAAAGCGGAGAGTATTGCCTCCAGAAATGTGCAAGATATGACCGACGTTTGTGGTAGCTTGTTTGGTGCGTCTAATGACGACCATACCAAGTTAGAACAGTAGTGGCAAAGTTCGATGGCCTCTAAGATCTTGTAGTCGTCGTTATCCCTCTAACCATTATTGTGGTGACATCTTGGTGGATTGGTGTTTCTTACAAAGCCATGCAATCCAACGGCCACAGTGATCCTTTGCATCAACCTCAGAGTCAGCTTCAAACAGCATCGACTGTTGCAACTGCAGCCCCGGACGATGTTATGATTCATGTTGTGACAGTCGAGCAATGGTCGACTCCCTCAGGGAGGAGCGCGGCAGCCGCCTTGTAAAAAGCCACGGTTTGAGCGTGGATACGTGAGAATCCTCGAGCGTTCCAATACAGTACTAGATGTACCTGAGCATGGGTATCGTGCTGGGAAGGCATCGCTTGATCGCTATTGTCGCTTGCTTGTTAATCAGTTGGAGCCTCGAATGCTCATGTGATTGGATTCGGGCCAAGACTAGAAAGGACATTTTTCCGGTACCAGGGTATGTAGAAGTCCTTTGCCCATCCTGCCAGGCGGCGAAGGCCGGCGACAATCTGGTAGGTCTTGAGAATGCTCTGCGTAGACCCGAACTCCTGTTCAATCCACAAGATGGTGCGATAAACTGTTATATCGGTGCCATCTTCCCGAGTTGTTGTGTGAGGCTCCAACGTGGAAAAGACAAAGAGCCAGCGATGACCTTGTATGATTACTCCCGGGAGGAAACCGAGTTGGAACAAAGCTGCTTTCACAGCATCGGTGATCGCTTCCTCGTCTGCCCCATCAGGCTGAGTCGACGTGATCATCGCCTTCACAGCGGATTGGAGAAACCTCCACTGCGCTGCATGCCATACACCCATCTGCAGCTGTGCCACGTCCAAATCCTTACCAGGACGCTTAGTTTCAATGCTCAGTATGATGGGGCGTAGCTGAAGAGGCCTGTAATCGGTGTGATTGACTGTCTGAGTAACTGTGCGCTGAGCAAGTGCTCGGCGCGCTTGAGCATCGACGTCGGAATCATCAAAGAGGCAAAAGTCCACCATCTTTTGCCTTGAAGAACAAGGCAGATAGTTCCTATGTGGCCGAGCGGTTGTACTGAGAATCCATTAGCCTCTAAGAACGATACGTCCTTTCCTCATCATACGTACCATGACATAAAGTCGAAGGGCTGGACGGAGGCCGATCCCGATCCTCTGAAGATGCTTTCAAGAAGCCGATGATGCGCTTCCATGTTCCAGCTGAATTCTTCGTGATCGGAATTAAAGCACTCCATCGCCCGCTCACGGACAGTATTAAGTTCTTCCCAGCTCGGTACGCGGCCAGGCAGAGTATCTACACCTTCGTCCTTGAATGCGGAGCGCCAAGGCTTCAATTTCAGCCCTTGTTCTTGAAGGATCTGGGTGACTTCGCTCTGCTTTTCATGCGGCAAGATGTCAATGCCCATGTCAATCTCGAGCAGCTCTTGCACTAAACTAGCGACGGCGGGCGGAGGATGGTCGCTATCGAGCTGCTTACACTCAAGTCCTCCGATGTCCAAATTCAAGCCCATGAATTGTCTCCGGGGCGATGAAGCTTGTGAACGGTGGTCTCCCTGCTGAGACGGTGCCAGCGAGATGGACGACAAAGAACTCAACTGGGAGCCTGTCCGCGCGCCTTTTGCTTGGGGTGTTTTGTCGTCATCACCAATCCTTCGTCTTTTTGGCGTAGACGTATGCTCCATCCCGCTGGTGTCGCTCGCTGAGTGCGGAGGAGTGAGTCGCTGGCGTCGTGATTTTCGCTTGCGCGGGGCTGCACAATCGCTGCCGGGGTGGTCTAACACGTTCTCAAGCCAGAGATAGATTCGGCCATCGTCTAACATGATGGAAAAGAAAAATGTTCCTCCAAGCACGGCATCGGTATAATAATAACGATTTGGCCGGGCGAAGTGAGTTATTGGAGGGTGGAATTTCGGAGTGGAACAAAGATTACCATGGCAACGTGCGAGGATTAGTCCAACACGCGTTATGAAGCGGTGATTGGCCAGGATCTCAACGCCATTTCTCAATTTCAGGACTCGGTCTCACTATAATCCGGAGTGCCCCAACCCCAGCCACAAAGGCAAGCCACGCCGTAGCAGTCTTCAATGCTTGGTAAGCAGAAAAACACAAGCCCCTACCCTATAGGCCAGGTAGAGTGAGCATCAAGCGAAGAAGTTGACCTCTGCAGTTGCTATGTCCGACTTTCTTATGAGATATGTATCCGTCACGGGATAGGATCTATTCTTAGGCTATTCTTTCCCTTTCTTATCTAAAGTAACTTTATTTTGAGTAATCAAGATACAAAAGAGGCGCTCTGTTCTGGAGATAGTTGAACGGTTTCAAGTGAAATGGTTATCTAGAGAGCGCCACCTCGCCGTAAACAGCTGTTATCACTTTGTCACCGGGACCGTTCCAGCTGCAAGCGCGACGGCCACTGATCACGATGCCTCCCACAGATCTCAAGGTGATGGAGCTTAGATATCAACCAACTATTGCGCTACAGATGCCTGGCGGTTGGGAACGACCAGTTCCTGGTCTCCAATATGTATTATGGTAGAAGCTTCCTCCTGGTAATTACATCACTGGTGAGATGAGTGGGGCTCGAATCATTGAATGGGGAAGTATCATTGGCTGATGTAAAACCGTGGTGGAGATATTCAAATGAATTCGGGTTTTCGAATGATTTCAAGCATTTTTGACCAATCAGAAGCTAAGATTTGGCTCCAGCCAATCAAATCTTGCACAATGAGACGCGTCAATCTGGGACAAAGCGCGTTCATACCACGTACGGCCTCATTGTCTCTACCGAACACTCAGGTGACCGTTGACCAAGCCAGGGGTTTCTGTGACACCATCAAAAGAGCCAATGGACGAGGGCAGAGCAACCAAATGCCACCGCATCCCACCAGACTCGCATGTCGTCGGGACCCCTTTTAGGCAAAATTCATCCTTTGCCGTCTGCATTGGGGTGACGGGCTTCGGGATAGCCAACTGCACCATTCCCGAAGGAAAACCATTTCGTCAATCCACAGAGTCACATGCTCACCAAAAATGAACTGTAGCAATCATTGAGAAGGCATTGGCTTGGTACCAGGAATGAACGCCGGTGAATTACCGGAGCTGGTATTCACATACTAGATATATTTACTACGGATGAACAGTAACCTGACCCTAAGTAATTAAATTATGAAATATGAAGAGGAAAAGCGGCCTGAAGATAGTGATACACATGACTATCAACTAGTCAAGCGTTACAAGCTAGATCATTCTGATATCTTTTGTATAGGTAGTGTTCAGCTTAGTTAGCTTAATCCTTAGAATCTTCCTTGAGCTCTCGCTTCCTTGCCTCTCGTTTGAAGCCAACATATATGCCAATGAACATGAAGACAGAGGCGACGGCAAACCCAAGATAAGGTTTGGCTCCAATCTTCCAGTTTGGTGCTTCAGATGCAGGAAAGGCTGCAATCGGGAGAAAAGCGCTGAGTGCATAGAATATAATTGTTCCAGTAGCGAAAAGCAGTGTCCGAACTTCAGGCTCTGCCCGTAAGTGATCCGATGCCCACGCACACAACAGCATCATTGAAACACTAATCCTTATTAGCGCGATTGTGATTGGCATTGTTATAGGGTTTCTTACTCTCCAATATAGTTTAGGTAATATCCAGCCATATGAAGCTGTCTATTTTGGGGTCGAGCAATAATAATGGACAGTGATGTGAGATTGATTGCCTATTGCTTGTCAGCTATGCCTCTCATCCATATAAGGGAGTCTAAAGACCTGTCTTACAGAATGCAATATTAGAAAAGGCAACCTTTGACCAGTGAAGTCACTGAAGCCGCTGAATAGTAGCTCAGCAATTAATTGAACAGCTTGCCCGATAATAGGTAGATAGTTCAACATCGCCACGGAACTGCCCTGTTTGTTAGCAGACTAGAGGCAAGATCGTTATTATAGAGGAGACTGACTATGTCAAAGTTCCATCTGGGTTTTTGAGAGATTGGAGATAGAGGTTGAAATAGCTGGTTGGCGCGGTGTTGCCACCAAATGGCCATGCAACTGGGACAGTTAGACTTTATTGGGGATTTGTTGATGGCTAGAGGAGATCTTACTTGCAACAGCCCACAATTGCCAAAAGGTAAAGGCTCTTATGAACGTCTTGACGGTGAGTCCTCTCTGAGGCTCTCGGCCGATACGGCGACCACGAGCGAGTGCAACATCTTGAAACAAAACTATTAGAATAACTAAGGCAGTTTGGGATATTGAGGTGACCCACCATAGTCTTGTCGTCTCAGATACCAGCCCGCAAGCTTGTTTGGGCGTTCAGGCTAGGTGCCTCGGTTAGGTTCTCGTTCTCATCCTCTTTGGGGACATTTGTTCCCGAATCAACA